TGGATACCTTGCAGAGCATTAAGACAGCAGGAACAGAGAATTCATGGCTGCTGGATCTCTCTACAGTGTGACTCTTTTAGATTCCCATATAATACACTCTTGGTTCTGCAAGGGTTCTTTAGTAAAGACAATGGTTCTACATAGAACCATGAAAACTCAAAGAACCATTTGCATGTTTAGATCTTTCATTGCATGGTAAAATAGTTCTTTAGGTTGATGGAGCCTGCATTTTATATGGTTCTATATAGAACATTTTTGAAAATAGTGCTATATAGCACCAAAAAAGGTAACCTACTGTAACCTATTGTTACAGTGTCAAGCTTATAACCAAGACTTGTTTGGTGTCTGAATGTTTGCAGCTTACGTTTTACACTGAAGCTAAGGGCCTAACCTAACCTAACAGATAACAGAAGTGAATTAGCATTGTGTAAACTGCATGTCTAAATCATCACACACTTGCCTCAAACCATGTCAAGTTGCTATGTGTTCTCAAATAGACTTGCTTATGTGGCTTCTGACAGTGTAAAACACACCTTAATGTATGAAAAATATGTGCAAAATATCAGTAATTAAGATGGCTTATACTGCTGTTTTTAGCCGTTATCTACTTTAGGGGGTCCCAAACTTTTTCATGCCGCAACTCACATGTAGAGGTAGGGTTTGCCCTGCGACACATCATATATTCTGTGAAGTGAAAAAGATATAAACGCACCAAAGAAGTGCAAAGATTTCTGTCTACTTTTACTCAACATTCTGTTTGCAAAATCAACAAAAGCAATAACATACCATGCTAAAAGAATCAAATGTACATAGGCATACAGCAGAGAGATTATGGGATAGAAAAGTAATAAAATAATTACACTTATTTTTTCTACATTTAGATGTAATCCATTTGGCTATAACCTTCACTGTGAATACATTAATGTTAATACTTAACCGGACTCTACATGTCTTATATAAATATTGATCCATGTTGTCTTATTTAGACAGCTGGCCAGCGCTTTTTTTTCTTTTTTTAAAGGCAGGTACCTTACTGCTATCAGGAAAAATAACCAACTCAAAGCTTTGAACACAGCAACCAAATGTCCCTACCGATGCTGTCTGAGCAATGTGATGGTACATGGTGCACGCAGTGAGATAAAGGCCACACTAACAACATGGAGGAGTTTTGAGAGCATCAGAGGTGCTATGCGGTGCATTAACAGCGTACCACTTCAGATCTAAACGTGCTTCATTTAGCTCTTTTCTCAAAGAAGGACAATATATATGCATTAATTCCGCTTCCTTACGACTTGCTTGTCCCCTCACTGTGACCCACTACTGATCTACTTCATACCGACACCAAACTTGTCATGGCTGACATTACATTTAGAACAAGGGGAAAATTGGGTGAATTATTGCTTTAAGGTCTACATTGGGTCCTCTTTTGTATACCATAGTCACTTCCTACACACTTTTAAAAGGAGACTGCTAATCAGCAGTGTATTTTTAACCTACATGGCCAAGTTTACATCTCACTCACACATTTTGCACTTTGAAGGATGCAAATCTGCACCATGTTAAAATCACCTCAGTATGGGCCACGGTCCCAACATAAAGCAGAGGAAAGAATAGAGGAAGTCAACATTATGTATCTGATGGACAGAGCAGATGGGTGGACAGATGCGGAGGAGAATGGAAAAGCAGAGGAGAGGAAGGACAGAAGGAAAGAGACGGATGGGAGGATCAGAAGTGAGGGATTCTGTCCTGTATCACTGAGTCTGCAGCAGCAAGGAATGTTCTTGAGGGTCGACGTTTCCAGAACGTGACAGCATGTGAAGATCGTTCTTCAAAGACAGACTGTGTGCTTTGTTCCTTGTCTGTGTACTTCCAGATGTGCCGTTTGTCGTTTGATGTGGACACTGCAACCAACGTCGTCTGATAATCTGGGCATTCTGTCTGTAATCTGAATGCACTATTGATGAACTGGTTTTCTGAGGAATATATGTGAAAGTTCATCCATTCACATACGTTATGTAGCCTGTATATCAGGCACAATACGTAGCATGTTTTGCTAGTGGATGTATATTGTGTGTTTATGTATGTTATACAAAAGCTAGATGACATTTACTGTAATCATAGAATCTGCAGTGGATTTGCTACACCTGACCATTATCTAATTTATAGCCAGTTAATCTATCACCGGTCATTTGTTTAAATGGTTAATCTAACTATTTTGCTATTCTTCTGTTCATCTCACTTTGCATCAATCATCGTTCATGGCTCTATCAGTGCTACAAGTGATTTTTTTTTTTAATAAAATGAATTGGCTACTTTTTAACAGTAAAATTGTTTGTTGCTATTGTTATTAATTATAGATTTGACTGTTTATTTAAAAAATTGATATTGTATTATGTATTTTGTCTCTGCTTTTCATCATAAGTTATGCCCAACAACACCTCTTAACCATGGTAAAATCCTTGTAACAATGTCTTGAGAGGCTTATTGTTTCATTTCATCCTGCACCGAAACAGTAGAACCGGTGGTGAGAGAGACGCAAGCGAATTTCTTAATGCACTCGCTCGCCACATGCAATACTCCGCTCGTGAGTCTAGTTGATTTTTTAAGTGCTGCAAGGCAATATACAGCTTTAAGAAGCTGTTTTACAAACTCCTACTAAAGTGTGATTGGACGATCTAAAACCACCTGCACTGTTGCAGTTGCACAATTGATAACACCCATCTCCATTCTGCAGACCAATCATGGGGTTGGAGACTTAGGCCACTCTCTGTCACATCCCCACCCCCAAAGTCTCAAAAATCAGTGTTCAGCATGACAAGCGAGTGCACAAAGAAATTGGCTTTTCTCACCACTTGCCAAATAGAACTGCTCTCGCACTGATCTTTCTTGTGCTTTATTTTAATAACCACTTGTGCAGCCACTGTTCTCCACATTCGTTTCACTGGTCCTCATACTCCCTGTTTATGATACAACTTAAACCCCGTAATGTCACCCCCTGTTCTTCCTGCAGTGTATTGCAAACTGTCAGAATGACCAAGATTATCTTATTGTCACTGTTCCAGAAAAAAAGGGATCTTCAAAATGACAGCTTTTCAGGAGAAGGCAAAACGTTCATAACTTTTAATGCAAGTTAATGTAAAGAGATTTTATTCCAAGCAGTTCCGGAGCATTCCTATTGGTCCATTCTACATGAAAAATTCACACAATGTAAAGGTTAGCTGCTGTGCTTGAATGATGTATAAAAATTAAAATTGGAAAAGTATTTTTTCATATAATGATCGACTTTGCAGCCCTACTCAGGGGGAATGTTCCTTTATACACTAAAACACGCCCCACCTAACTGTGGCCTTCTCGGCTCGTCACCACTGTGGCCCCTGTCCTCGTCAAATGAGCTGTAACGTGATGACACTTCAAACCCTTCTGTCCCGGCAGGGCAAAGCTTGGGTTCCCCTAAAGAACAGGACTGCTTTGAAACTCACTCCTCCTACTCCTCCTCCTCCTCTTCCTCCTTTTCTTGGGCCTCTCTGTATCCTTCACTAAAGCACACAAGTGCCTTTTTACGAGCTTGAGGAATGTGTCAGTTTGTGGAGCAGAGAGGTCAGTGGCCGGAGGGGCGGTCAGCCGAGCTGCTGTAAATCTGCCCAGCTGTTAGTGGAGAAACCTCTCTCTCTCTCCCTCTTCCTCCCGCAAGAGCCCACAGAATGAGGTTCCATCCACTTCTTCTCAGTCACGCTTGGACACTCTTCGGTCCTTCGGTCCTCCCTGCCTTTGTGTTTTTACTGCTGTTAATCACAGCAAAACAAATGTGTAGCACCCCAGGGGACTCTTTGATACATGTAACTACATTCTCCTAAACTTCTGGCCTTCAGCATTAGAATAGCTTTATCTGTCTCATCAAAATTTATAGCAGTGCATGTGTAGAAGTGTTTGCTTGAATTTGTTAAGTCAAGGGATACTTTGTGTCAAGACCTGGTGGTTTTACTGTGGAGAGATAGCTAAGTATATGTTTATAACTTTACCTACTGAACCAGCAATTAGCCTCAAACTCTAAAATACTGCTCAAATTAACCTGACTTCATATTTTACAATAAATGCCTTTGAGCAGCCTTGTTAGGTGAACAGTTGCTGGTAATTATATGACATCAGCCTGAGGGTATTTTTCTTACTCCCTGTCCACTTCATTTGAAACACCTACTTTACATTCACATCCACACATTGGTCACTGAGAGCCAGCTATCTTACAGGTCCATTATACGGGAATGTAACCCATCTGTTACCCACACTGTTAGTCAGTATTGGTCAGCATTTCATCTTTGGTCAGTTTCTGACCACAGGACTGTGGCTGACTAAATTTATATTGGTTGATCCATATGGGAGTGGCTCTTTTATACAGTTCTGTGCAAAAGGCAGCAACCACTCTATGTTTAATTTCTAGTCAATTCTGCTATGAAGTACAAGTTATGCCTTTTTTAATAGCATGAAAAAACCTTTGCCTTCATTACAGCTTCCAGTGTTTTTGTGAGACTTTCAGTTTTTCAAAGAAATCTGCAGGGATATTTTTCCACACTTCCAAAGTTCAGTCTTAGAAGTTGGTTGCATTTTCTGCAGTAATCTCTTTTCAGCAAAAGTGGAACTTGATTTTTTCCTCTCTCTCAAACCAAGTGCTTTAAATACTGTTTATCTGAAAGCTTGAGTGCCTGATGAACAAAAGCAAAAAAAAGTAAACTGTTAACATCCCCAGAACCTGCCTGGATCATTTCCTCTCTTCTAAAACTTTGGAGGACTGTTTTACTGCTTGAACTCTGAGATTCTTCAAATAGATCCAAATAGAGAGCTTTATTTACAAAGTAAAATTGGCCTGCTGCGAATCAAAATTAAGATTTCACCTTGTAGAGTTTGCCAGAAATGTGTCTACATCGCCTACACTACGGGCACTCGTCCCTCAAATAATTAAAACAGTGCTCTCTAATTAATGCCTCTCTCCGTCTTATCTTTCACAGATCCGCAGTGGAAAGCTGATGATCACTAACGCGCGGAAGAGTGATGCTGGGAAGTACGTTTGTGTGGGAACCAACATGGTGGGAGAGCGTGAGAGTGAGATAGCTGAGCTGACTGTGCTAGGTAAACACTCCAGTAACCTAACATCACACACTTTCTGTCTATAATGTTTCTGAACTCTATTCTGGCTCTATAGCGCTGCACAATATGTCGGTTCTTAATCATCATGTCACTGGTATTTGTGATACTGACTGGGACTCTAACCCCAAAATCACAATGGTTTTACTGTGTGTTGTGTGTGTCTTGACCAATAGCAGTTCCAGATGAGTGTTCATATGGGTGTTGTAATGAATCACGGTATTCGTATAATATATTTATATACCAAAAAGTAAATAATTCTGGTTAAAGAGTCATATATTAATAATCGGTTTATGCTTTAAGCTGTATGATCCTGCACGAATGTACAATTGATCTGTACATGTTGGTCATTTCCATGATGAGTTGGGCTGGACTTTTCCATAGCCCCGCCCCACACAAACCAAAACCTATTTAGTCATGCCTGAATAACTACCAGTGAGCGAGCCAGCTAGCTAGCAGAAATTAAAATTGAATTAAAGTTTAAAAACAACTCTTAACCAGTGTGTGCAACACCGCCTTGTACTTGGGGGGACCCATGTTGGCTGGGTGGCTACTCACTCACCATAGTAGCGCTGAGGCTAGCTTCAATGGAACCAAAATGTTTATTCTTCTTTTATAAATGCTTTTTGGTTCAGTAATGCACTCTTCCTCACATGAACTGAGATCTTACACAGCTCCTCTTTGGTTTTCAGTTTGAGAAATGAGTAAGAATCCACTAAGTTCTTGAAAAACTGGTCATTCAGATTTACAAATATGCTGTGGCACATTGTAAAGTTTTTACAGAGGAATCTTGAGCATAGTTACAGTTGCTAGGCTATGAATGACCAGTGAACCAGTTTGCTGCAGTGCCACCCTCAGGCAGACCAGTGCGACATCTCTAGTTAATTAAGAATATCAAGAATACCATAGATTGTGGGTGAAACCTGTTAATTAACGACCTTTCCCTGAATTTGTATTTGAGTGTCTGTTTTTCCCTGACGGACAGCATAATGTTAAAATAAGTTTATTTTCAGGGACCTGGACCCCCCAGGACCCCCTGTATTTCGTACCTTGCCCTTAACTGTGGTAAGATGACTGTAATGCACAAGTTATTTGGATAAAGAGTGGCTTCAATGCCAACTTTACGAAAGACCTCCAAGATCTTACACATATTCAAAGTCTAATTTCCACCAGAAAATAAAAGCTGAAAAAAAGCTGAAAACACTGCCGCCATGGAGTCATTTGTATTGTCGTGGCTACACCGTCAATCATCAATCTGAAACACTCTTACGATCCTGATCAGGCAGAGAATTTAGTTTTTTTTAGCCTTTCACTCATTTAAAAAAATTGTTCAGGATTTATTTCTTTCAAACTGGCATTTTTAATGATGGTTAAGTCACACGTCTTTATAATCATTGAGATAATTGAGATAATTACTATTCACAATTGAGTTTTAACCATGTCATATTATTGATACACCAAAGACCAAAGCTTTTTTAATGTATTGCAAGAATTGCCTCAATACTATAATCATAGTACTACACTCTTATAAAAGATGGTTCTTTAAGGGATCTTTAGTAAAGAAAACAGTTCTATAAAGAACCATAAACACTCAAAGAACCCTTTGCATGATAAAGGGGTTCTTTGCATCATGGAATGGTTCTTCATGTGTTGTAGATTGTTCAATACAGAACCTTTTTGAAAAGCATTCTATATAGCACCCAGTAGGTTTATTCTATTGTTATGATGTCAAGCTTGTAACAATAGAAGAATGCTTTTGGGTGCTATGTAGAACCTTTTTAATCACATTCTCCATCCATCTGAAGAACACTTTCTTAATGCAAAGGGTTCTTTGAGTGTTCATGGTTCTTTATAGAACTTTTTTTTACTAAAGAACCCTTGAAGAACCATCTTTTCTAAGAGTCTAGTTTTTTGTCCAGCTCTGTGGCTTAGTGTGGGATTGAGGGTCCCACCCTCTTCCCAATTGGAGAATATTTATGTTTCCTCTCATCCATTTGCCAAATTAAAAGGGTTACGTAATAACAGGCCTGCTTGTGCAGCTGTTCCTGAATTCCCTCGCTCTCCACTCAACCTTCTGACCCGTGTGCTTAGGCCTATTTGGCCGCCCAGGTCAAAACCAGCTGTGCCCTCTGTCTGTCTTCGTCTGGCCCAGTCTGCTGACCCTTACTGTCCCCCTGGCTTCCCTCCTCTCTGACCCCCCTCTACATCTCCCCTCACCACAAGCACTTCCTGCCTGCCCAGACGTCTTATCACATGATCAGCTGGGCCCGGAGCCAACACGCGCACATTTCTGAGAGCGAGTAAAAACATTTAGTGCTAATAGAATAATACTGTTGATTGAAGCAACAGATTCCCGCCAGGGCCCTGGGGGGAGCGCCTGGAGAAACGTGGTCAGACTTTAACAAGCCCTAAAACTATTACTGTGTGGACTTTACTTTTTTTTCCTGAAGTACATTTTTTCTTATGTTTCTTTTCTTTTTGTGCAAAATGGCTGTATTGAAAATAAGTGCTGGAAAGGGCTTACCCGCTGAACTCTTCTGAAGAACATGTGCTCTGAATTTAACATAAATCCAAGAATCAGACACAGTGATGAAGACTTAAAAGTGGCAGTTACTGCCAGCAATAACAAAAGCATGTTGTGTTTTTGAATTATTTCTCACTCGTAGCTCACTGAAACAAGCAGAGAAATTCTGTGGAAAGTGCAGATTCTAATTTTTTAATCCTGTTAGTAAGTTATTGTTGTGAATACAGTCCTGTTTTTTGGTAAATCCTTGTTTTTGTTGTTGTTTGGCATCAAAGCAGACAAAAAAAGGGGAAGTGCAGGCTGGAACCTGTCAAAACAATGTTAATATGAATGTAGTTTATTACTATGCATATAATTATATAATTACATTTTATTAATTATGTATGTCAATCAAATGTATAGCAAACCAATAATATAACTTTAAATAATAACTCTAGACTGAGTTAGTGCTTTGGATGATAACAATGACAGTATATCATATTTCTGTGCAGCAGTCCATCATGATCATTACAGTGATTATAACCATTCTTGAACTAAAAACATGCACATGATATGATTATAATGATGATTATAATCATTTTTGAATGATAAAATGTATATTTTTCTGTCTGTTTTCCCTTGTCTTTACAGAGCGACCGAGCTTCACGCGGAGGCCGAGCAGTGTGGTGGTCCTGGCCGACGAGAGTGTGGAGTTTCGGTGTGAGGCGCGAGGAGACCCCTTTCCCACCATCCGTTGGAGGAAGGAGGACGGAGAGCTGCCCAAGGGGAGGTGCGGCTGTGCTCCCTCAGGCAGCCTGGATCTCCCAGATCTGCTCTGCTTTCACGTTCCCTCATACACGCATGATAAGAGCTCACAGTGTGAAAGAGTACAGTGTTCTCAGTTGCAGCCCAGGGGCCCCGCTGCTCTGCACAGTTTAGCATTTTCCATGCTCGGGCACACCTGATTCAACTCAACGGCTAATTATTCTGAGTCCTTTGTGAGTGGAATCAGCAGGGAAAGCACGAAAACGTGCAGCGCAGTGAGGCAGGAGGGAGATTCAGAACAGCTGTGTTAAAGAGAGGGGGATGCATAGTAAGACCTTCTAACAAGTTCAGTGATATGATAGAAAAGTAGTGTAGCTTTTAGAGAGGTTTGGAGAGCTTGTCAGAATTTTGGGAACACTTCACCTTTAAAATGGAAGTTCCTCACAGTCCTTACAAATTACATTGATAGAAGTTACTGAGTGATTGATTGTAGTTATTGTATAATAAGCATTAACGGTTTATAAATGAATATATGTTCCTTGTCGGTTTGTGATATCTCAACATATCAGTAGAATGACTATAATGTTTAGACCTTGCAAAATTTGCGTTTGGGTCTTTGGGCCAAAAGACTTTCCATAATTTTCACAGTCATATGCAAAAGTTTGAGCGCCCTTGGTCAAATTATGTATAGTTGATTTTCTAAGTAAAAGACATGAACACATCCTCCACTGAGAACACATTTTAATAACAATTACTGTTTATTTGTTGAATTGAACATCTTGGGGAAAAAAAATAAAGCATAAAATGTGACCTGTGCAAAAGTTATGGCACATATATATATATATATGTTTGCTGTCCAAACAAGTATCTCCAAAATAGTAACTTCACAGAAGTGTAAGTTAATGTAAAAAAGGTTTTATTCCAAGTGATTTTAAAGCGTTTCTGTTGGTCCGTTCATCATGAAATTTTCACGCAATGTAAAGGACAGCTGGTGTGTTGTATCTCGTTTTTAAGTTTTTGACATAATTTGAAAATGTCTGTTGCCTTTTACATTGTATGTAAATTTCATGATGAATGGACCGAAAGAAATGGCCCAAAAATGACTTGGGGGGGAAAAAATGTCTGGCTCCATTGACTTACATTAAAAGTAAAGTAGATTTTTTTTATTCTCCTGTAAAGTTATCTTTTTGGAGATACAAGGTTTTGTTCCATCAACAGCCAGGGATGTGCTTTGATGGGGAGGTTTTGCATGCAACTGTATTTAATGATTTCTGTACACTAAACCAAGGTCCTTTTAAGCTGTTCATTTGTTCTCATATTTACATTTATACTTAACATATTAGCAAATAAAGTTAAATAAAAAAGTTAATAAAAAGTTATAGTAAATGCTGTGTATGTTATGTTGCATATGCAGGTAAATATGCATTCATTTTTCTTACTTCCAGTGTAATCAAATCTAAAAGTAACAGTGAAAATCAACTTTTGGTGACCAGATGTATCATCTTTCTCTCTCTTTCTCTTTCTCTCTCTCTCTCTCTCTCTCTCTCTCTCTCTCTCTTTCTCTGTAGGTATGAGATACTGGAGGACCACACGTTGAGTTTGCGGCGCGTGACCCCCACCGACGTGGGCTCCTACAGCTGCCTGGCCGAGAACATGGTGGGGAAAGCCGAGGCTTCAGCAACGCTGACCGTGCATGGTGAGAGTTTACACACACACACTGAACCTCCCCACACCTGCTGCTGCAGCACATGGAGGAAACTGCAGGGCTGAAGCTGCATGGACAGCTGCATGTGCTGGAAAAATAAACCCAAGCTCAGCTGTTCACAGGTTCAGTCCACCAGTCACTCTTTTTTACACTCCCTGACACAACATTGCAGCTCCATGACTTCATGTCCTCATGCTAAACTCTGTTTATGGTGAATGACAGAGATCTTATGAACACAGTTTGTAATCAGCTGTACCGCAGATTTACAGCCAGTGCATTCTGACTTCTTTTTATATTCAGTGAAAGGTTATTTGGTAATTGTTGGGGAAAAATAACAAAAATAGACTTTTGGGTATCAATGTAGCATCTACCCACAGAATTTTATTTATGTTTAAAGTCAGAGAACTGTGAGGGATAAAGTCAGTTTTTTTGACTGCCTGTGTCATATTTGCTTCCAGACTCTGCTGATATGTAGTGAAATCCATTCTTTCATCTACTCGTCCAGTGTTTTCTGTGTCTAGGAAACATCTAATTGTGCAATGCATTATAGAACCACTCTTATGCTTAACAGTTGGCAAGGTGTTCCTTTCATCAAATTCTGCTCCTTTTTCTCTCCAAATATACTTTTGCCTATTATGGCCAAAGAGCTCAATTTTTACTTCATCAGTCCACAGCATTTGTTTCCAGAATGCCTCAGACTTATCTAGATATGGTTTTGCATGCGTAAGGCATTGACTTTTGAGGTCACAGGTATGGCTTTCTTTCTGATGACTCTCCCATGCAGATAATTATTGCACAAAGTTCCTCTTAACTGCAACTTCTTAAGCGCTTTGATATCTTTCATAGCCTTCCCTTGCTTTGTAGGCATCAATTAGCTTAATTTTCAGATCCTCAGCCAGCTGTTTAGTGGAGTCAATTGCTGTTGAGTGTGTGAAGAAGGTTTAAAGAGAATTTATTACTACAATTATTATGTATGACCTGCCTAACCAGTCTTTTTCCCTGGAAGGGTACCTAATGTTTTGCACACAACACAATTACTACTTTATTGCAGTTTGCTGCAGAGGTATTTCCTACTTATCATTACAAAAAACAACAAAATATGTAACTTGGCCCAACATTTGCATACAACTGTAGATGCTAGCTGTGTGCTAGCTGTGCTAGTCTTGCTAACAGTGGGCAACATGTGGGAAGTCTATGCTTGTACACATGATTGTATATACACATCAGGTGAGATTGGAGGGGATCAGCTAGTCACAGTTCACCCATTACTTCACTCTAGACTACACCACTGGATTTACGGCTAGTTTGGGTTTGTTGGGTCCTTTATGTTCAGTGTCGCGGCTGACTGAGCCACCGCAGGGGCTCATGTGTTGACCTCGCAGTCTTTGGCGCATCCCGAGAGGGCCACGGAGCCTTTGAACAGGCAGCCACATTACGCTGTGTCACTGGGGGGTGACAGGAAGTGAGGTTTAGTGGCTAGCGGCGATGTAGCACGCTTGTGATACTGTAGAAGTGCGCGTGGGCAGCAGAGGGACGTGTTAGCCCAGCCTTAGCCTCCTCTTTGAAGAGAGGAAATGAACTGGAGCAACAAGCTCCATTTCTCTCCCTCCCCCATCGCCTCCTCCTCCCCCTCCTACTTCTCCACCTCCTCCACCCCCAGCTGCCCCAGTGACACCCAGCCGGAGACACACGGAGGGAGGATGGCCTAATTAAAGACAAGCCCCAGTCCCACGCTGGGAGATAACATGTTTCCAATTACACAGTCTAATTCCAGACCTGGGAAAAAAGCCGAAAAAGCAAAGCAGCGAGAGTGAACGCAATTTGGCCTCAGTATGGAGAGGAAGGAGAGAAGTGGAGATAGCTGATGAGTATGATTGGGTGAGCTGGAGAGAAGTACTTACGCAAACACCCTGTAGGCTTTTTTTCTGATGCATTTTTTTCCTCCCTCAATCGAGACACCTGAGAGTAGAGTGGTGAGGGAAGAAAGGCCAGTCTGGAGGAAACAGACATAACAATGATGTTGTCTGACAAACATATTATCTCATTTGGAGAGATACTTGTAGCTGCAGATGACTGAGATAACCTTAGAGGGCTGAGTGCCTTTGTGTGTGTATCTGTGTTTGTTTTCATACATTCTTAGGACAAAAACGGCCTGATTTTGTAAGAAACCTAGAGAAAAATATCATGAAGTTTTTAAAATTGTATTTATTTATGCAATTCATTTACAAAAGCTCTGTTTCATTTTTAAAACTGAAAGAGCAGAGACATTTCTTTTTGGTTACTATGATTAAAATTGTGATTAGGTTTAGAGTTAAGCTCAGAAAATTCTTATTGTATATTAGAAACACAGCACAAACTAGCATCATCATAGAGGTGGGTTTTTAAATTCTTTTTCTGGAGTTTTGATATTTAAAGGCCAAAGTGAAGGCCTAGGCCTTAATGTTAATGTTGCGTAATTAGTCACAGTTTTCCACTGATATGATGCATATGGGAAATTATTACATGTAGGTAAACACACACCCTATATATACGTGTGTGTGTGTGTGTGTGTGTGTATATATATATATATATATGTATGTATATATATATATATATATATATATATATATATATACACACACGCACGTGTGTATGTGGTGAGAGAGAGACGGAAAGAGAACTTTTTTATCTTCAACATAATGAAATGTCTTGTGGATAAGATTAAATATGCGCTGGATAAGACTGTCTATAATTCACTGCAAACTTAATAATGAAACACTACCATTTATTCAGCACATTTAATATTAGGTTTATTTTCTGCATGATTTATAAAGGCTATTAAGATTTAATGCAGTTATTGTATTTTTTTCATGTTCATGCAGCGCTGCTTTTCTGAGCGCTCCACTTAGATTCCAGATGTTTTCATACTTGACCTGCATTGCCATATAAACTTTTTTACATCGTTACATTTTTCTTCTTGAAAAAAATAAACACCCGCAAGCTTTCGTTGGGCTGAGCGAGACAGGAAGGCAGATAAAGAGGGTCTTCCTCAGTTACCCGGGCGATGAGATCGGCGCAGTCGTGGCCGCCGCCAATCAGCACTGCGAATCAAAACAGCCCACGTGTCGTCGGCCTTTGAGCTGCAGTACAGATGGTTTTCTTCCAGATTTCTCCTCGTTCCTCCCTGCATTATCCTCTTCTGTAGCCTCACTCTCTCACCCTGAATGCTCAGTGCTGGTGTGAACATCATAAAAATACCCCGCAGCAGTTTTTATGGCTGCCACAATTATTCTTCAGGCACAGTTCTGATTAAAGTGCAGACTGAGATGTTTCTGATCCAGGTGAAAGTGTGCTGTTGTCATTCTTGGACCATAAAAACAACATTAGTGGCAGTTTCATGTTCTGAGTCCCAGTTGTGACTCCTATTGGAGGCCTTAAAATGGGTGTGACTGGGTGCATGTGGGAGTTTTCATTAACAGGGACCTAACAGGGACTCATATGAGTCACACACATATACTGCTGTTCAAAGGTTTGAAATCACTTATTGTATTAAGAATGTTCATTTTATATACACTAATAACTCACTAAGCAGTGCAGATTAAAATATTCTAAACTAGACACAGAAAGGTATTTTAGATATTGTATTCAATATTTCAGGTATTTTGAATATTACAACATGAAGTTATTAGACAATAAATCATATAGTTGATTTTATTGATTTTGTTCTTGAAGTACTGCAGTAGCCTTTTACAGTGTGTTAAATTATCATGTTAAATGGACAAATATGAGTGCTCCAAAATTACTATATTAAGTTAATGTAAAAAATAAAAGCTTTTGTCATTTGTTGCAAAGTTGCCATTTTGGTTTTTTTTTATAATAACGATATGATGTATTTATCTATTAACAATATATTTTTGTCACCTTCTTTGTATATTTTCTTTGTGACAAATTGTAGAAAAGCTTTCCACCAATCCATAAATACTCCAATAACATTTGTGATATTTAGAAATATAAAGCAAACTGCAAAATACAGAACATGCATACGACTCCACCCCTCCTGACCCAGCTACCACTTAAGACGTCTCAGAAATCCTTAAACTCAAGATGATGTTACTAAGATGTTTTCAAACTGGCTTATTCTTTAACGTAAATCTTCTTTGTCCATGTGTAGACTCTGCACTGCATCTCCAAGCCGCAGATTGGTGATGTAGTGCATCATTTTTTAGCTATGGAGATCTCAATGATCTCAATATTAGCTAATTTGTTTCTGCCCTGTAAACTAGAGCCCAACTGATATGTCAGATGGCCAATAATATCTGTGTCCAGCAGTTTTATCATTATTGAAAATATCACCAATAATGTCCTAAAACTTAGCAACTTTTTAGGTCAGTGGGAGTAGGACAGTAGGACAGTGCCAGGATCCAAACTCATGACCTCTTGACAATACTGTAAAACTTTTGCCAGTTGCACCACTGGGTAGCTCAATATGTGTAATTTTGTGTTTAAATGTATGACACAAAACAGAAAATTATTTTAGTTATTGAGTAATCATATACATGCAATTTATAGCAACAAACATTTATTATACCATATCATCATATAAATACATCATATAAAATGTGTACAAACCTAACATTTAGCATGAGAATAAGATGTTATAAAAAATCAATCACTGCTGAACGTTTATAAAAATAAGATGAACAGTCAAAAACACAGAATTCTGAGCCGCTGCAGCTTATAGATGTTTAAGAAGTGTGGTGGTTGACCACTGACAATCTTATTGGTTACAAAAACACTGTAACTAGAAGTAGTGGAATAAAAAATTGACATTTTAAATATAAATATAAAAGTACATCAGTTGATGTTTTAGCCCCTTAAAATGGGTATCAGCCAAAATGTTCACATCAGGTGGGCTTTACAGTAAAGTACTACAGCATATCAAAATACTTTCTACTTATGTCTGCAACAAAATTGGTTTTATATTATTGGAAACTTTTGAACAGTGATTCCAAACTTTTAAATGGTAGTGTATTTTTACACACACAGACACACACACACACACACACATGCACACACAACCCTTCCCCCTGCATCTTTATGCCTTCGTGCGGGTGTCGTAACTCAGTCCAAACATGGCCTCAGAGGGAGATTGGGGTCGTAACTCAGGCCTGCTCTGCTAGGTGAAGCTTTTCACACCTTCAAATGCAACACAGGTCCAATGGGTCTCATAGGGGGCCAAACAACTCATGCCTTGTCCTCCGATTTCCCCCTCAGACACAGCATCCGACACAGGGTCTTTATCCTCCTGCCACTCTTTCTCTCTCTCTGACCAGCGCAGACAAACCCTCATCTGTCCGTTCAGCACCCCCTCCAACTCACTCTATAAAGCTGCCAGAGGAATTCATGCCCCAGGCTGCACTTATTTCAATAAACACACTTTACATGTCACGGGTCACACGCTGGAGCTCCACCGTGAACAATGTAAACCCATAGCATGTCACTGAAGGACTGTTTGTGTTGGTGTTCTTTCAGGTATTACTGTGTGTACCTGTCTTTGTGTGTGTGCCTGTGTGAATGTGCCTGTGTGTTTAGTCCACAGTTTTGTTAAGATATCCGTTTTAGCACCTATTTTATGTATGAGTGTTATGTTGCATGTGGCAGTTTATCATCTACTAGGGTGTCTCATATGAATTATATTCACATGGAATATGAACTTCACTGACCTATCCAACCTCCACTTACAAATGTGTTTTGTGCATTATTTGAGCCAAACGGTACAAACCATTTATGCTGTTTTTGTCAGACACTAGAACGATTTCAAATATGTTATAAAAATGATAATATTGCATTTAGTTTGGGATTTATAGGTCTTTCTCCATTCAAGTCTTGTATGACTGGAAATAACTGTCTGGGGTGGCTGTTTGTCGATATACAGAGAGGGACCTTCGGTCTTTATCCTGTCCGAAGTCGCTATCACCAAGTAGCTTGACTTTATTTATAAAGCTTGAGGCATCATACTGTTGCGCTTTCTTGTTTTTCTTATTTCGGTATGTAGGGTAAGTACAAAGGGGAATAGGCTACCTACAAATCCTGTAACTTCAGCCAAGCTGAAGCTAACAATGTAGGCTATAACATTAATCTAGCTAACTAGCAAAAGCTGAGTGGCACAAACATCAAGAGATCATGATTGCAATCCTTCACTATGCCACAGACATTCATTTGGGAATCCTAGAGAGCCTGATTAGCCTTGCTTTGTCTGCGTGGGTAATATGGTAGGCCCTCCCTTTCCCCCCATTGCTCAGTGTGATGTTAGCCAATGCGATCTGTTAGAGTAACGGACTTGGCAGTTAGAGTTCTCCTCCAAGTGTGCTGAACTGTCCAGTGAACTTGTGTTAGCAGGAGTTTGAAAAGATGTGCTAGCACTTCACGTGACTTAGAGAAAGCACATTCTAGCCTTCACCCTCCCAAATTGGTTGCATCTTGCAATAGGTTAAGCCCTAGCTAGTGGAACTGCAACTGGGACTAAATTGGGGAGAAAATTGTGTCAAATTCCAAAACAAAACAAGTATCAGGTCAATCTCAAATGTTTATCTCTTAAATCATGACTACAAAATGAACCTTGGTTACACAGTGTTCTCTAAAGCTTGACCAGGCTAGCCCTAGTTACTATAAAAGAGCGTATTTGTAGGCAGAGTGTGAATAAATCAGTTGAATGACAGCTGCACATTTGACCTTAGGGACATTAATAATCTCACTGCAAATAGCATGTAAACAATCTTTTAGTCTGGGTCACAAATACCCTGTGAAGGATCTCATATCCTGACATAAAGCACACATTTCGGCAGAAACGATGGCCTCTGAGCTGCTGTTGACCAAACGCAGAACTAACAGGACGTGGAGAATGTGACGAAATGTCCCCTTCCTGTTGCACTCACTTGCTGGGTGAAGGGCATGGGCTCGTTTGATGTCCGCTGTTCACATATTAATCAAAGTGGTCCGCTCTAAAAACACGTCTGAGTAGGGAGGGCTGGGTTAAGGGCCTCAGCAAAAGCCAACATCAACAAGGGTCTCCCTCCTGATCCGCCACCCCTACCAGCACACGGCACGGCCTGCGCTGTTTGTGCAGTTGGGATGTCTGGGTTTAACGCATAGTTTGACTTGCATAAACATTCCAGAGTCGCTGATGACACAGGCAGATATTGAGCCATACTGGTCAGCTGCAGTTACCACAGAGCACAGTGTAGCTGGATCGCTGAATGTCATTCGAACAGCTTTGCGGTTAAAGGAGACGGATGCTGGTGACTGAAGTAATTTGTGAATGGTAAAGGAGAGCTAGTATTTATAGCACTGACTGTTTCATAATTCTTCTGTTGTTATAACTGCCTTTCCATTCTCGGTGTACAGTACTGTGCAAACTTCAGTGACCATCCTTCATTTATTTTACTTCCAGTCAAAGTCCATTAAGTACAAGTTATTCATTTTTCAGGAGGCATTTATGAGGAGAATAGATATAGGATAATCCACTTGCATTAGCAGGGAGAAAGTCAAATTAAAGTAAACCAAAAAAATGATAAAGATTTCAAATATTTTGAATTTTTTGAAATTTTGAATTCAAAATTATTATAAGACACAGAGAAAATGTGATTACTAACAGCCATGCAAGACCTGGTAGACCACCAAAACTGTCACCAACAGCTAAACAGAACTTAAAGCTTTCATTTTTGAAATAGAGGAGAAATACAAGCTCCATTCTTACTTCAGATCTGTCCATCCTTCCACTGTGAGAAGACAACTCAATGCTAAAAGTCTGAAAAGATGTGCAGCTGTCAAGAAGCCCTTACTGAGAAAAGAAAATAGAAGAAAATTTGCAAATCAAACGAAGAAGCTGCTGGTGTTCTCGGGACAATGGACTGACCACCCCAGAGTCCAGACCTCAACATCACTGAATGTACGTGGGGTCACTTCGATCCTGAAAATGCTGAAAATGCAACTCCCAAAGACTGAACTCCTGAAGTGTGAAAAAGCATCGCTACAGGTTTCAAGTTTCCCGAAAAAATATATATTAAACTGTTGAGGCTTTTGCTTAATTTTTAGTTAAATATATGTTTTCATAAATATATGTTTAACATAGACTTCATGGCCATTTTAACTGGATATCAATCAAATGAAGAATGGTCTGTAACTTGCACAGTACTGTATATACATCCCTTTTTTATTGGAGCCATTGACGTTTTGTGATTCTGGGAACATTTAAATGGTCTACACAAGAGAAAAATCTGCTTTTACTTGAAATAGTAAAAATGTTAAAGGACTTTATCAAGAGAAAAACAAATGTTCCTGTTTAAAACAAGTAAGAGAATGAATGTGTAACTATTCATATATAATATGCTATTAATATGTAGATGTTTCAAAATGTACTGGTCACACTTTATTTGGATGGTCCCCTATAGATGATCTACAGATACTTCAATTATTAACAAACTTTCTAGTGATACTCAACAACATTAGGGTTAGGTTTATGAGTAAGTGTAGGTTTTGCATTTTTTGAGGTTAAGGTTAGTGTTAGCTTTATGTTTAGGGACAGATTTATTAGAATCTTTCTAATTGCATTTAATAGATATTTATTTGAAGGTCAAAGATAGACTGAGCATCTACAAAGCATGTACAGTGGCCCATCCAAATTAAGTGTTACCAGTGTACCATCCAATACCTATTACATAAAGCCCACATATTGCAAAACTAAGCAAAAACAGTCTTTCTGAATGTGTTGTTTTTGATGTCACAAAACCAGCACATTTACATATATCTGCCTTTTCAGCCTCAGAAGGTCAGCTCCACCCATTCACATCGAAGTTACAAGGAGTGTTTTAACCTGGACTGCTTTTTGAATAAGGCACAATACAAAATATTGTGTGACATTTTTTAGAACATTTTGACTGGTTTTGATACATGAACATACACAAATCTAATGAGCTGACCTCTGAAGGACTATCCAATGGACCTTTTAAGGTCGGGGTTGAGTTGGAGGCAGCCAAAACTATTTTAGCTACAGTAAAACAGATGGAAACCCACAAACATAAAAATTCAGACGAGTGCGTGCCTCATATGAGTGTTCATCAGTCACGAGTAGTTCTGCTGCTATGTGTCCTCATTCCACTGAGATCACTTCATAATGTGGCCATAAAGTGCAGTTGAAAGAAGTACTGATGGATGAATGTGTTGACTGTGACTCATCAGCTGCTTTTCTCTGTCTCTCTTTTCTTTTGTAGTCATGTCTGGTAAGTTGTCATCCTCCACCCATCCACCATACAGCTAGTGACAGGAAGTGGTCCGAGTGCTTAACACCATTATCCCATCACCATCTTCCATCCTCCATATATCTCACACTAAAGCTGGAACAGCTCTGATGGCAGTAATGGGTAAATCAAAAATGTATCTGAATTCAAAGGTAAAAGCAATTTTCTCCTTCGCATATGATTTGATGGAACTGTGAAGGATGCTGCTGTTCTTTTTATCCTGTATTAGACATGATATTGGCATCTTTTCCATCTTTCTGATTTCAGTTATGAATAGCGCATTACGGTATCCAGTATTTCATTCTGCATGGCCTTAAACTGAGATAACCCTTTGTTGACATGTGTCATGTGCAGTGCCCCCAGCGTTTGCAGTGCGCCCGCGGAACCAGGTGGTGGGCGTGGGGCGAACAGTTACTTTCCAGTGTGAAGCCACGGGGAACCCCCAGCCTGCCATTTTTTGGCAGCGCGAAGGCAGCCAGGTAAGAGGAGGTTCATACCTGCCTGTATTCTCCATCTCTGAGAACCACTTGTTGTGTTACTCAGAGGTATCTGATACAATTCTTGGGCCATGTCATTGAAACATCCGAAATCCTATCTGTTTAGACACCATGACAGTTTTATTAGGGCCTATAACTCCTACAGAAAAACATATCCTAAATCCTGATACGAACAGAGTATTACAGAAGCGTCCTAACATGACAGAATGTCCTAAATCCTGTCCTAACTTCAGGATTTACCCCAAGGATTTTTAAAAATTTCTGGATAATTGTTGAGATATAAAGTGATTTTATATGAAATGGTAAAATGTAGAGAAACTTATCCTTTCAGATTGTATAGTGGTGGTGATAGAACCCAGGGGTCATGATGTCTACAACATAACTGTAGCCATTTTCTTTGCTTTTCAAAATGACCAATGAACCCACACGTCTTTATTTACTGTATAGTCTTTGGGTACTATTTTTCTGTATGACATCCTGCATGTACATCTTCACCAAAATTGTAATTTAAAATATGGTTTAGTTCAAAATTATTGAAAAACTATCATATCTAAAACGTAAAAACTTTCTGTGATGTAGATTTTAGAGGCATCAAACGTTTCAGGTGTCTGGTTCCCATCACCACCACTGCAAGAAATTCTGACTTTAATTGTCTCTAGAATGGTACTTTTCACATCAAACCACTCTGAATAACATTTTTTCACATCTTATCAATTAAGCAGCTATTTTGAAAAAATCATTTTTAGGCTCCGTGTGTATTTACAACAGTAGCTGTTGAATTTTTATCAAATTAAAATCATCTTCTACTTATGAACACAAAAGTGGTATTGACTGTAAGTTCAGAATCTCTCTGCTTGTTTCAGCTCTGAGTATGAAATGATTAAATTATATAAATACATAAAAGAAAACAGCATTTTAGGCTTAAATTTGCCTTTTGTAATGAATGTATTTCTTTCATTATGTTTCTCTCTCTTTCTGTTTCCCTCCATTCTTTCTTTCCTCTCTACACAGAACCTGCTGTTCTCCTACCAGCCCCCTCAGCCCTCCAGTCGTTTCTCTGTCTCTCAGACAGGTGATCTGACCATCATGGATGTGCAGCGCTCAGACGGAGGCCTCTACAGCTGCCAGGCACTCAATATCGCTGGCAGTGTCATCACCAAGGCCCTGCTGGAGGTCACAGATGGTGAGAGAGAAAGCACACACAGCAGCAGGGTCCCTGTCACACACCTGCAGTACCCGCACTGCTGATAAGGAACATGATTAAGACCGTGTGGACTGAAATCATGGAGTCCACAGGTGGCATTAGAAAAGTACAGAGTAGACTCTGGATTACTATGGAATCCCTCCTGTCAGCTGGCAGAGAAACAAGGCTCTTATGTAGCGAAGGTCACTGATTTATCCGTGCTCTGTCCACAAATGCGTTTTCTCATAACTAGTGTTGCCAGGTAGGACAAGCTTTACAGAATGTTGGTAAAAGTCTAATTTGGCCGAATATTTGTCCAAATATGTAAATTTAGGCTGTTATTGCATGTTGACCGACATGCGTCTCAAACCGGGCTTGTCCTTAAGTGACTCACAGCTCGACTTGGACTCCATGTGAGGGGGGTGTATCTCGCCTTTCAGCTTTGTTACAGTCATGCACAGTCATTACTGCAGTCCTGTTCTCTCACAGCTCATAGCATTATCTGGTTCAATACAACTTTAACCCCCTGAAATCCTAGGCTTAATATATGCTAAGGCTTATTATTTGGTAACTATGGGGACTTCAGTGCAAACTGGTTGAGCCATTCTTAGGTTACAGAAGTGTGTAATAAACTTTGGGCCTGCTGACGGGCCCTGGCCATTTAAGGACTTACATAAGGAGCCTTTCACTATAGAAAAATATGACAGAATGTAGCACTACATGTAGTTAATACTGTGTTTAAAAAAGTGGAGAAACTACTTGAAAGTGTCATGTTAATAATTCATTATTTTACCATATAGCCATATTTTACCATATAGCTATTTTACCATATAGTTTTGGAGCGTACATAGCAGTTGGACTTCTTTATAGTGACTTTTATTCTTTACAGACATGTTTCATAATTGGGCTTTGGCTAAATGGGAAAATTGCACCATTTACACAGGCTATGTGTAGCACATTTAAAAACCCCATTAAAAAATTTGATCCATCCTAACACTGTGACCTTTCACATGCATACAAAATGAATATCATTTGAAATTAATAGCACACTCTGCAAGGTTATACAGGCGTTACGGGACACTAGCAAAAATACCATTTAACCTAATATATTTAGATTGGAATTTATATTTGCTACAGAACATTAAGTTTCTGGTTAAATGCTAAGCTACCAAACTGGACAAAGTTGTCGTAGCTAATCAAAACAAGGCAGAGCGGAAATGACAACAATTTTGCCACTACGCTAATGCTAGCCCGCCTTGAAAAACCAGTATGGCTCACCACCAGCAAAACCAGCATATGGTGTGTTTTGGATGCTGGTATGCTGGTCAGCAGCAATTGAAGTTCTGCTGACCAGCATACCAGCATATGTTGATCACCACCAAAACTAGCATATTTTGTGTGTTGATACTGGTATGCTGGTCAACCAGCATGACCATTTTCAGCAAGGAGCTCAATTCAGACAACAAAAAATTATACCTGTTATACCCTATCAGTGTGATCTTTCACATACATGAAAAATACATATATTTGAAGTTATTAACTTTGTCCAAATGTAGGTTCTGACCAAAATGCTACAGTTGCACGCTACAGTTTCTAATTAGGTTTTGTTGTTTTTTTGCTAAAACCTCACAAAAGCTGCTGTTAAGGACTGTGTTTGTGGACAAACTGTGGATTGGTTAATAATCTGATTATCTGTGCATCACTGGTTTGTCTAGAACATTTTTAAAGCATAGGATGCTACAGGTTTTATCCTTGTCTTTGCGATCGGACTGCAAATGCAGGGGTTCACTGGCTGTCCCATATCTGCCTCAGGTAATAATCGTTTGAGACCGAGGCTCAGACGTACTGCTTCAAAAATACTGCGTTTCTATAGCAACCAGATACACAAAGACTGTCAGTGTCCTTGTCTGTGATTCCCTCGTGCCAATTTATTCCTCCCCCTTGAAAATAGGCACATGCACACATACTCTCCACTCTTCGGGTGTGGCAAGACATCCCACTGACCTCTCACCTAGTTGGCACTAGAAATGATAACAATAATTATCCCAACAGTTATTAAAAAGCTGAATTAAAATCGCAGCTCTACCCTTCAAGGTCTGTGAAAAAAAGTAATTGCACCTGCATCATCACCGCCAGCAAACAGAGCTTGCCCCCCACGCAAACAGACTGGACGTGTGAGTGGCTGGGCTACGTACATATATTAGTTTAATGAACATAATTGCCTGGGGTGGCACCAGGCAGAGCCTGTCTGGGCGGCTGGAGAAGCATAGGCAGCTTTTGGACGGCGGGTAATGATATGGTAATTTTAATGTTCTCCCTCTTCTGCCATACAGACACACAGGCAGGCACGAAATGGGTCTCCCACACTCAGTGTACACTCAATTACACTTAATGGAAATGAAACAAGGATGGAGCATGTTTGATTTAATCTAGCCCAGCTACTCCTGCACTCTTCCCCCTCTATTTCCACCCCTTCCCCCCATGCTTTCTCTGCTCTGCGTCTATGTTAATAATCGCCCGTCTCTGCCTCCGGCTATTTTTCAGGTGTAACCTCCTCCCCGTTCACCCCCCACTTTTAAGTCTTGGTGGGTTTTTTCCATTTCGCCACTGATGTGAAAGTGAAAGCTTGCTGTCTAAATGGGATTTTTTTATTAGGTGTTCCAAGGTGCTTTGGTGCAAGTCAGGTACTGCTGCCAAATGATTAGCCAGTTGCTGGAGGGTTTTTTTTTTAGAAATCTAATTTTGCCTTTTTCCACCGTCACCCACCTCATCTTATTTACCTCACTCTGTTTTTCTCCTCCTCTTGTTTACAGTGTTCTTCTTCTCCTTCATTATCTCAGGGTTCTGTTTTCTCCCACCTGCTTTTCTCATTTTTCTTTATCTCCATTTGCCTTTTTCTATTTTCGAACAGTGGTTTCGGATCGGCCTCCTCCGGTCATTCGGCAGGGTCCAGAGAACCAAACGGTAGCGGTGGATGGGACAGTGCTGCTGAATTGCATAGCAACAGGAACACCCATGCCAACACTGCTCTGGAGGAAGGATGGGATGCTTGTGTCCACTCACGATTCACGCATCTCTCAGCTGGACAGTGGAGCTCTGCAGATCCGCTACGCCAAGGTAGAGAGCACGAAAGCCAAAAGTCCAGAGCACGGTGACCCAGCACTGACCAAATGTTTTCAAACAAATCTAAATTTCCATTCATACTGTTCTAGAATGTTCTCTCCATTCACACTCTTCAGGAATCTTCTCACCCTTTTACGCTGTGCTAGAAAGTTCTCCCCATTCCTACTGTTCTAGAATGTTCTCTCCATTCACACTCTTCAGGAATCTTCTCACCCTTTTACGCTGTGCTAGAAAGTTCTCCCCATTCCTACTGTTCTAGAATGTTCTCCGCTATTCACATTCTTATAGAATATTTCCCACCATTCTTTCTGTTCTAGAGTGTTCTTCTCACTCACATGGTTCTAGAGTCTTCTTCCCATCCACGCTCTTCTTGAATGTTCTCTGCCTTTCATACTGTTCTAGAAAGTTCTCCACCAATCACAATGTTCTAGAAAGTTCTCTCTATTTTTTTTAAATGTTCTCACCATTTGCACTGTTATAGAACACTCTCCACATTCCCACTGCTCTAGAATGTTATTTCCCATGCACATGGTTCTAGAAAGCTTTCTCTTATTCACACTGGTCTAGATTGTGCTCTACCACTCACACTCTTCTAGTATGTTCTCCTCTATTTATGTTGTTCTAATGTTCACCTCCGTCCACACAGGGTCCAGAACGTTGTCCCTATTCACACTGTTCTAGATGTTCTCTACTATTCACAGTTTGAAAATGTTCTCCACCACTCACACTGTTCTAGAATATTCTCCATCATTCATGCTATTCTAGAATGTCCTCCATCATTTACACTGCTCTCCTCTATAACATTAGAATGGTTGTTGTTGGAGAATGTTGGGTCAGTGTGCACTGGGCTTAACACTTCCACACAGTGGGCTTATCAACCACCACAAAATACACTAATGCCCTTCCACGCAACACACAGATGCTACACTGACAATGCACTTAGCGACAGCATTCTAGTTACAGAGACCTTTAGCAACTCAATTGAACAGCCATACACTAATACACCAGCACTCCTCCACAGCAGTCTGCAAAATTGCCTCTAATGGCCCAGGCTTAACTCACACACTTCCTCTGCTCATCCACAATTGCTATTGTCTCTTCACTCTCTTGAAACAGACTCGTGTTCAGACTACTATTATGCGTAGAAGCACTTGATTTTAGAGTGGTTTGTTTGTTTTTTGACTCATAGCTCGGGGATACAGGAGTGTATACGTGTGTGGCCACCAGCCCCAGCGGTGAGGCATCGTGGAAGGCCTACCTGGCTGTGGAAGGTACTGCTCAATTCTTATTGCACTACGCCATCACAGGATACTAGGAAGAGTATTTTATGTAGGAATGTATTTAGGAAAACATTCACGTTTAGAACATTTTTGTTTATCACAGAATATGTGATCGAACAGATTTTAGAAAATGCCATTAATTTTTCCCATAAAGAAAGTCTGCTTAGACCTAGAGTACCTAATATGGACTTGATGCCGACTATAGAATAGCACACAACTTCAGAGGTCTTTAGTGTCTTCTGAATTAATAAGTCTTGCGACTAATAATTGAATAATAAGCCTAGAGGTTAACCCTTACCAGACTTATGAGAAACTATTTTTTACTTTTTTATAAGTACAGTAGTCACATAGAGTATAATCGAACTGAGAATTGTCCATGTTCCTTTCGTAGAATATTGCAAACTAGCACACAGTCAGTGCTGTGGAGTGTGTTCTGAGATGTGTGTTTGGTTGTGTTGTGTCAGAGTTTGGAGTGGTGGTGCAGCCTGGCAGACCCACAGACCCCAACCTGATCCCCAGCGCCCCCTCCAAGCCTGAGGTCACTGATGTTACACGCACCTCTGTCACACTCTCCTGGAAGGCTAACCTTAACGGAGCCACACCGACTTCTTACATCATCGAAGCCTTTAGGTGATGAAAAATGACACAAATTCTAGTGGTGTCCTGAGGGTCATCACTGCTAGATGACTTAAACTTTTCTCTCATTCTTTGATTATCTTATTATTTACAAAATTGCAAATGATCTTTCATTCTCGATCTCTCTCCTCTAAACCTAACTTTAGCCATGCGTCTGGGAGTAGCTGGGTGACCCTTGCTGACCATGTGAAGACCGAGTCCTTTGTACTGAAGGGTCTGAAGCCCAGTGCAGTGTATCTCTTCCTGGTGAGGGCAGCCAACGCCTATGGCCTGAGTGACCCCAGCCCCATCACGGATGCCATCCGGACACAAGGTGACCTGCATCATCATGCTAATTCTGACCTGCATAATTATGCTTATTCTAATTATTCTAATGAGACTAATTCCTTCATTTTAATACGGTAAAAGCTGAGATGAAATCCAGCTCTCTGCAGTTACGCTTCCTACTTTTAACTTGATTTCTTGAGGATTATGAACTCCTGTATAGCGCTACACACTGACATTCCACGTTATTTGGTAGTTATTAGTTGTCAGCATTGTTAGTACGTCCAGGCATTGTGACTGTTCTCTATATAACGTTTATTCTGCAGACACTCCTCCTACTATGCAGGGTGTGGACCACCGTCAGATCCAGAAGGAACTAGGGGACGTGGTTGTTCACCTGCACAATCCCACTATCCTCTCATCTTCTTCAGTCAGGGTGCAGTGGACGGTAAGAGACACGACCCACCCTGCTGCCAACACCAAATTAAAGTTCATATTTCACCAAGTGCTGCTTTATGGTGGCACCTAAATATTACAGGTAAACTGAGACATTGCGTATTATCTTTGTTAGTACTGTATTATTGTAGCACTCCAGTAAGAGTGGTACGCACTCACACTCGATAAATTTGCACAGTACAAATCTGTCATTTTTTTGTTTAAAACATTTCCATATGTTCCTCAACTTAGACTTAGCCACTGTGAGACACAGTATCAGCTGCTTCCAGCATTATCTGCAGTTATCTGCAACTTCATGTGCCTTTTTCAAACACCCATTTAAAGCTACTCTATGTAAGTGTTGGGGATTTGGGGACATTTCTGGTGGACGTGTGAAAATACACACAAATTTGTAAAGTCAGTTGTGCTTCGGACACTGGTCCCAAGCAGATGAATCTAATGATTTTGAGCATGTTGAAAGAGTATTCCAGGAGAAACTTGATGAAGGCCATGTTTTCCAAGGATGTAAGTGAATGATCTGTTATTGTCATCAAATCTTCATCAGTATAATGAAGATTGCATTTGAAACCCAAACATCGTCAGATCTTCTTTCTGAGCCTGTGCATATGGCATTAATACGTGAAGATGTATGACATGGCCCGAAAAACTCCAGCAAAATCAGACCTGTCACCTAAGACCTTTTATTTATTTTTACACCACATTTTAGCATGTTTTTGCTTCTCCTGGCTCAGTAATGCTACTTGTTTCAATTTTAACAAAGTAAATTTGCAGCTATAAACAAAGTTCAGGTATCCATTTATTGAAACTATGTCCAATCCTAGTCTTTATACTGATGAATGAATAGTTATATGTTTAGGCTTACACTGCATCTGTCTCTCACTAGTGAACTACATGTGGTCATAATCAGAATTGTTGCAGTGAAATGCTAGTTTAGCTTCTCTGTAACACCCTGCCTGGCTCTGTTTCTCCTCTAGCTGTATTCTCAGTCAACCCGATCAACTCTGCACTTAAAAAGAGCCTCTTAGCCTGTCAGCAACACGCTGCTCTTTGTTATTATAGACCGTATCGGCTGTGTACAGCATGTTCAGCAGCGTGTTAAGCAGTGTATGCTGAGTGGATCTGTGCATTACTGTGGATTGTCCCATGCTGCGTGGTCAGCCCACTTAAAGGAGACCTACTTGTGGACTAACCAGGACCACCTGTGCTGACAAAATGAGTTTTTATCACAGCGGCTGGGAGAGATTGTTTAAACATTCTCAAGCGCGCTCCGCTCTTCTGCCTCCCAGCCCCTTCCAAGGCCCACGGACGTGCGTTCACTTTGATGAATGAGCTGACATAAACACACGTCAGAGCGAGCGTTCCAAACACAGACGCAGAATGTAAATACTTTGGCTGGGACAGAGTTGGTGGGGGCAGGCATGTGGTGGTCAGCATCTCTGGAATCTGGCTGGGAATTTTTTTTGGACGTTTGAAATAAAGGAAGCTTTCCTTTCTCATTAGCGACTAGCGTGTTGTGTAGATAATGTACGGAAGTGGTTTTGCGCTAAAGCTCTAGCGAGGAAAGCATGGGATTCTTCAAACGGTTTTGAGTTGCACAAAGCAGGATCATCTACTTTAGCGCTCTTTATAGCTCTGTTGAAGTGAAACAGCTGGTGACAGATTAGATTCGTACAAGTTCCTCTGTAGAGCTAAGCATTTCATGCCAGTATAGTGTAGTCTTTCCCTGTTGCCCTGTAAACTTCCCCTGGTTCTGAATATGCTTTGAGAGCTTCTCTTTGCTAGAATGTTTGCAGCATGCCCTGCAGCCATATCCTAACCAGTCTCAGGATGTGAGGAATTGGCTGCTGCTGCTGACCTCATGCTGTGGTTGAGCCACGAGTGGGAGCTGCAGGAGAACACAGGCGCATAGACCGCTTCGGGACCGTCCCGTTTCCACGGTTACCGGGCAGTCAGCCCGCAGCAGCCCAAGACCGTGTTATTTATTGAGGCTGGGATTATCATTTGCCCGCACACATGCTCCTTAATTATGCCCTCCTGTACAGAATTCCAGTGCAGGCCTGTGAGAGCTGGCTTTGCTCCAGCAGTTGCAAACAATCGATTGAAAATTTTTTAACATGCTCTTGTCTTACTTGAAATTACAACCGCAATTTTATTCTGAAATAGAAGAGTATGATGAACTATGTAAAGGGCATATATGAAAGCTAAGCTGCCAAAACAGCCTGTTTTAAACTCATCATGGTCGTGATGTCAACACCATAAATAAATTTATATATGACCACCAACAGCTGTTTAGCAATTCATGCATGTTCATGCATTCACATTACAAGTGTTAGCAAGTGATGTTACTGCAGAGAGTCTGTAGCAGAGTTATTAGAGAGGAAGAAGTACAAACGTTTTCTGTTCATGGCTGTCGGGAAGCAATCACTGCAGCTTTCCAAAGGATCCACACATTCAAATGTTTTACTTCAAACTAACAGTTCCATACACTTCAGCCTGAACTGCTATTTGAACAGAGCTCAATACAAGGCAGCCAGTCAGAACAGAGATCACTTAGTCTTAAAGGCACAGTAAGAAAAACAGCCTGTATGTTTCTAAGAGATAAAGAGATTTTAGAAAAATGAATTATGACTGTTTTTTAAAACGTGCAAAAATGTTATAAATAATTCAGGGAACAATAAAGCAGAATGTGTGGAATATAACTCTTGTGTGTTGTAAAAAACCCTGTGATATAAAGTAAATATGTGGCATTGTGTTGTTTTCATCCTGTCCTGTAGGTGGAGCAGCAGTCTCAGTACATTCAGGGCTATAAGGTCATGTACCGTCCCTCTTCTGAGTCAGGTGAGCCCCGAGGTCAGTGGGGTGTGTTTGAGGTGCGGACCCCCGGTGAGGATGGGGTGGTGGTGCCTCAGCTCAAGAAGGGCATCACCTACGAGTTCAAAGTGCGTCCATTCTTTGATGAGTTTCAAGGCGCGGACAGCGAGGTGAAGGTGGTCAGGACGTTTGAGGAGGGTGAGTGCAATCTGGAGAACAGTTTGTACGTCAGTTTCTCAGCCACCTTAAAAAAAAGAAAGAAGACTCCTTGGCCAATTTTCTCACAATCAATGTCGCCTCTCTGCCTCATCAAGCTTCGCGTTTATTATTCACACACCACTAACTGGCTAGATTACACTGCTCATCATTATTCCAGCTCATGTGTTATAGGCACGAAGATGCGCCTTTTATTAATCTAGAAACTCCGAGACTGCATTTTGTGATGACATCGCTAATGATGCTAGCACAGAGTTAAGCTTGCATAGAGGCCAGATGAGGCATTTTTTTCTGCAGTAAATTTGAGTGTGCATGTTTCCAATGAACCCTTTCTGTTTTGAAATTTTCACGGCAAGGATCTCAACATACCATACCCCATTGTAGCAGTGAAAGATACAAATTGTGTAGCTAATTGCTTTTTGAGTTCTTCCAGCGAGGCCCAGCCTTGGGCCACTGGCTTCCACGCAGTCTGAATTATATTTAAGCACAAAGTGATTAAGCAGCACAGCCTGAAGCAGAACTGACTCATTCTAATTACACTCATCATACACTGTGTCAGAACCACACTGCATATACACTGCAACTTTGTAATAAATTCTTTTCTCTCCAGTAGAATAAGCAGCAAATTGAGCTCCCCCAGCCATTTCCTGATCTCATAAAGATACATATTTGCAGTGCAGCTCACAGTTTGTGGCTTTATATGACCCAAGGGGCTAGAACACTTTACAGTAAACGCGTACTAAAACCTAGTAGACGCTGGGTGTAATTTTCAAGGTTGTAATTTTGACTTAATTCCCAAATTTGCCAAAACTCATTTGAGAATTCCAGTAATGAAGAGACTTAGACTCAAAGTAGAATCATGCTGCTCAGAGAAAACATGAAATACTTTGCCCAAAAGATAGCTTATGTGTTCTGGGCCATGCCTATGCAGCCATGACATTAAATGATTCACTGTAAGGACAGGCTTGTTTCTGAAGGCATAACTTGCCCTGGTGGTACGATGAGTCCAGCTGATGCAATAGCTTGGAAACCAGAGGCAAATAGATTGCATTGACAAAAATAAACTAGTTCACATTAGCTTTAACTCAATATATTTTCCCTGTCATTGCAGCTCCTAGTGGGGCCCCACGTGGGGTTACTGTGACTAAGAGTGACACCAATGGGACAGCCATCCTGGTCGCCTGGCAACCGCCTCCAGTGGAGGAGCAGAATGGAGTGGTGCAAGAGTACAAGGTAATAGGGGACATCTGTGCTGTAGTACAGTATATTAGGGGAGCAAGGGGTGGCGTGTAGTAGGTGAAGTATACAGATGCAGCAGAAGCAGTATACTGCCCCCTGGTGGCTGTGTCATTACTGGCCTTAAAGCTGAGTGAGCGATTTTCCCATTGATCCTGGAATGTACGCGTATATCTAACACAAACTGCCAAACATTGTAAAACTTCAAACATTATATTGACAGAATAGTAAAATAAAATATATTCAACTTTTTTGACATTTTATCACAAAATAGAAAAAAATGATGGAGAAATTGTGACTTACTTAGTTTTATTATGACAAAATAATTGCCTAGAGGTATTAAATGTTGTCTCTTATTAGAGGTTTGTTTTTAGAGGTTTGTTTCTGAATCTTTTTCCATCTCTCCTCCTCTTTTCCCCTGTAGATTTGGTGCCTTGGCAACGAGAGCCGTTACCACATCAACCGGACTGTGGATGGCTCCACCTTCTCCGTCGTCATCCCCAGCCTGTCCCCTGGCATTCGCTATAGTGTGGAGGTCGCCGCTAGCAACGGGGCTGGCCCTGGGGTCAAGAGTGATGTCACCTTTTTTCAGCTAGGTTAGAGCGATTCCAATCCCACACACCAGAGGGGATTCTTCAGGGCCTCAGAGAAGACCAAATGATTTTTAAGAATTAGAAAAAAATACATGTCTTTAGTTTTTAGTTCATTTTTATTTAATAGAATTATCATGCTTGTATTCAAGCTCTGCCAGTATTGTAGTAATACTCTTATTTCACTGTTTAGTTTTGGTTGGAAACAAAAGATTTAAATTCTTGAAACGCCAAACAGAAACTGTCCTAGTCAGGATTTTTTTTTCTCTGATATCTAGGAAAATACAGTCAAGCAAACTCTCCCATTGGTTAGGACTTCAGGAGCTAAACTAAATGCCTAACACGTCAAATTAACCACTAACATAATTAGGAAGTGACAGTAAAACCAATCACTTTTTGATTTACAACACATGGGACATATGAGACAAAACATCACTCTAGACCTTCTGGAAGTCCTAGATATGTCACTAACTAGGAATGTGAGCCACACTAACCACACTCAGTTATTCGAAAAGGAAGACAGCATTGGAAGCTCTGTGCCAGGACTCTTTACTGAAAAAGTGACTGTAAAACTACAGCATACAAGGAAACATGCTAATATGTCTGTTTCTAGCATCAGATAAAATAGAATGTCTTTTACAATCTTTGTGTTTAATCTAGAATGGCCAAAAAAAGTTAATGTTCATTGCTGTTAGCTTAGCGCTAACATATTAAAAGAATCCCATAGGAGCGCTAACAGAAGTTAATAGCATTTTATCTTCAGTTTTTAAGCAAGTTTTGAAATTTGTGGTCCAAATTGAAGCCCTAGCTCTAATAGTCATGGTCCGCCACTGCCACACACTCACACACTCACACGCATGCAGACACACATACAGGCATTAACCAAGCAGTTAAGGCAAGCTTTAACATGAAGTCGTATTCTTAATTGCTGAAGTCACAGTTCACATAGGCAAACACTGAACTATACACACTCGAGAATTATTCATTTCAGAGTTTGCAAACAGAAAACAAGGAAAACATGTGTACATCGGTCTTAGCGAGTTTGATCTGCTGTTGTTAGCAGGTTTCTGCTGCTGTAGTGTGTAAAAACGGCCTGGCACTTGTAGCCATTCCTGGGGTTTAAAGAAGTCGCAAATAATTATAGCTTTGCCTTAGCAGTTCTGTTGATGCTTTCCCAACCACACACACACACACACACACACACACAATACACTGCTGAACATGAACAGTTCAGTATCAGATTTGAGAAGGCTACTTGAGTTTTAGAGGTCATGAGCAGAAACAGTGTTCTTCATTTTCATCCAAAGAACTTTAATGTGTCCCTAGGTGAACTTTATGGCTCTATTTTTGTTGATGCAGCAAAGTTTAAATGAGGCTTCTTATAAAAGGGGCTCATTAAGGTGCATATTAGACATTTGGCCTAGCATTAGCATTAGTGCTGATTTACGCAGTTGTTATCATTTTACAGACTCGTCTGGCCAGGTTTTGGAGAGTATGGATGACCGGGACACCTTTTCTCACATCTCTGATGTGGTGAAACAGCCTGCGTTCATCGCTGGGATCGGCGCCACCTGCTGGGTGGTGCTCATGGTTTTCAGTGTGTGGCTCTACCGCCATCGTAAGAAGAGAAGCGGCCTCAGCAGCAGCTACGCTGGCATTCGTAAGGGTATGTATGTTTACGTGTTTGGGGACTGAATGGAGGTGTTGTGTGTGTTATTAGGGATGTTACCATTTGGGCGGTGGACACAGCTCTTTCCATGAAATCAACACATGTTGATATGCATGAAATTTGAGTATTGGTCTTCACCTTCAGTCCTGGGGGTAGTCTACCCTCCACAGTTTCCACTACTTTCTGCTCCCAACACACCTGATCCAGCTTATCAACTGCTTATAAAGCCCTTAACCCCTTAAAAGGCCAGGGCCCACCAGCAGGCCCAAAGTTTAATTACATACTTCTATAACTAAAAATAGCTCAACCAGTTTGCACTGAAGTCCCTGTAGTTACTGAATGATAAGCTTTAGTATGTAATAAGACTGGGATTTTGAGGGGTTAATGATCTTCATTAGATTTGGAAGTGCTTGAACCTGTGCAGGGTGAGGGGTCCCTAGGACTGAAGTTGAGAACCACTGTTATAGAGTAAATTCCCACAGTCTAACCAGATTTGCTTGTACAAAAAATCATAGAAAATTCTTCTTAACCATGTTGTTCATGGAATTATTTTCTTGCTGATCTCCTGAGAGTGACAGGAGCTTCTCATTCTAGAATAATCTTGGGGTTATTTAAGGATTTCTCCTCAAGAGCCCTACAGAGCAATATGCAGATGATTAAGATACTAAATTCTGAAAATACAATGAAATCATTCTAGAGATTATCTAAATATCTTTGCACTTCAGAACTAGGCCTATAGGAAATTGCAGTATGTTCCAGAAGGTTGTAACACTGTATATATTGTAATATACTGAGTAAATTGCAGTTTGTTTAGGGGTGAAGATTTATTCCCAAGTTTGTGTACCAAAAATGACTACATGAAAGACCAGCCCATGACTCTTACATCATGCAGTTTCTTAGCTATGAATCAAAAGGGACCTTTCTCTAAAAGCAACTCAAAATTCAGAGCAACATGTTATTTTAAGACTGCAGTTTGATAGAGGATACGCACACTCTCATGTGGAAGCAGGAGCAGCTCATAATCATATGATGAAAATAAGTGACATGAAGTGTAGACAGGTGATTGGCTCAGATGGTGCAATCAGAACCTTCTAGAAGTCGCTCCAAGGCAGGGGTTAATACAGATCACACTGTGCCGTGTTGTCACCATGATAATTTCATTTCTTTCATTGCTGTCCATCACATTCCCCCTCCGCCGGTACTGTCTGGCATGACCAGTGTCATCCGCTTTCATCTTGGAATCGAGGCAGGGAGCTAAATTGATAACATGGTAGAAAAAAAGTGTTAGGGTAATCTTTCCACCAGAGCTCAAAAAGCCTAATGATCAGAGGAGTAGCACGTCAGAGACGCCACTGACATTCAGCAGCTGACATTTAGGGGGGGGTGCGTGTGTGTGTATGGGTGTGTGTGCGTGTTGTTGATGTGCTCTTGTGTCAGGCAATTGGAATGGAGGATTAAGGGTATGGTTAGAGTCAGAGTGATGCTGCTGTAACACTAACTTCATTCTCAGACTGTTTGGAACCACAGTCACATCCGTCCAGCACCACAGCTGTTCAGATTTGGAGCTTTAAGATATAAAACAAATCACTAATACATAAGAGGATGATCTCTTCATAGTACATACATGTTCATGTGGTTTGGTTGTTTAAAATGGTGGTGATTTAAAAAGATCTAAGGATCTGAAGGTGGCAGTTCAGATGTACTGATGTTGCAAATGATTACGATTAATTTTATAAAACAGATTCTGGTTCTGTAAATCAGTTGAGCCACATTGGAAGCCATTGTGTATACACTCCTAAAAATTCAGGCCCAGAAAGAGCTTTTGGAGTGATGCCAGAAGAGAAGGTTTCCAAAAAGAATCTTATAAATTCTTCTTTTTATTGCATTTTATATTACATTTTACAAAAACTGTGCGGAAAGGTAAGGGGGTTATAAAACCTTCTTTAAAGAATTCTTTTTTTATAGATGAGTCTGAAGAACCTTTATAAAGTTTAAAAACCTCCACATGATATAAAGGTTCTGCACCAATTAGAGTTCTTTCCAAGAACCATACGGTCAAGCCAAGAACCACATAGGAATCTTTCTTTAAGAGTGTAGTTCAGTAAGATGTTTATTCAGTAAATATATATATATATATATATATAGAATAAACATTTTACTGAACTACACTCTTAAAGAAAGATTCCTATGTGGATATATATATATATTTTTTTAATGCTAAATCGTACCAAAATGATTGCAGTGAATCAAACTGTAGTGAAATGAGATCTCATAATGGACTGAATCACTTCCTGAAGAATTGTATTTGAAGTGAAACTTCAATGCTGGCAGCATTTTCCCTTCTTCATGTATTATTTGTAGTTGGTTACCACAGTTGCTGTTTGTGTCATTTTATTTGTTTAATTCTTACCTTACAGTTTCCAGTGTAAATGAAATATCTCTCTCTGTCTCTCCACAGTACCATCCTTCACTTTCACCACAACAGGTACGCACACTTTTCATCACCTTTACATTCTGCTTCTGATGTTTACAAAATATTATAATCGTGAGAAAATATATGCTGCAATTTGGCACAACATTTCACTACACTTGGATGCTTTCAAAGACTTCCAGACCCCGCTTAGATGCCCTCCGTGCCCTGTCTAGTTCTTGGCATGCCAGAGATGTTTGTGGTGGTTAAAGATGATGTGCAGTAGTGATGGAATCTTGATTTTGTGTGCGTGTGAGTGTGTGTTTAGAAGGTTGATTGCTGTGCACTGAACTTCTTTAACATATCCCTACATGCCCCACAGCACTCCCCTAACCGCAGACCCACGCTGCCCCCTAGTCCTGTCGCCACAGAAGGGATGGGCTCCTAGCATGCGGTCCCAGTGACTAATCACACGCTGATTAGGATGCGTTTGAACTTTAATTCTCGTCACAATTCTCGTACAGCAGCCCCAGGGGCTGGTCTATCAGATCTGGCTCTCTTGCCTTTCCCAGATGTTGTTTGCACTCACTTACAGGTGTACATTACTGCTGTTTGTAAGTGTAGGTGGATGACATGAGTCATGTAGGGGATGTGCATTCTCTTTGGATTAGTAAAAGAGATTGTGTCCTGTAAGCATGAGATGGCATGTCCTTTTGTCCTTGTGCCAGTGGCTTTTGGTTTGTGACTGTCTTCTATGACAGTGTGATTCATGCTTATGTTCTATCTCTTGCTATAGTGGCCTATCAGCGAGGAGGAGAAGCTGTATGCAGTGCTGGAAGGTAAGTAAGATTACTTTTAAGGCTGCTTGGGATTACATTAGGGCTGGCCAATATATTATGTATTGCAATATTGGCTTTTGCAATACTGATATCGCAAAAGGCCACAATATGCAAATGAGCCCTTTAATAAATTGAATAGAAATGAATAGCGTCAAGCAAGTTTCTGTGGGTGTTTTGATGAATCCAGAATTAAATTTATTCTGGTCATGCAACATTGGTAATAATATTGGTCAAAATAATGCCGCCCAGCCTGTAACCTTAAAGAGCCCATATCCTGCATTTTTCATATACTGATTTTTTTTTTCTTTTGCCTGACATCCAGTTATGACATTTATCTGAGTTTATGTGCCACCACAACAGTCACAATACATTTTTGCTTGACCATTTTCCAACCTGCCTTTAAACCTTAAGATTAAACAGGCTGTTTAAGTTAATGTGTCTTTAAGACTGATGTATATGTAGATGACCTTTGTTCTGATTGGCTGCCCTGTATTGTGCCTCATTCAAAAATCAGGACTGAAACAGTCCCCATAACTCCCAACATTAGTGGCTGGGGTTAAACAGCTGTAGGCTGAATAGGAAGATGTATTGTGACATACCGAAAACAATGAACTGAAATTTTTGCAGTTTAGTTTTCATATATAGACCCTATGGACTGAGGAGTAAATAGCACATTTTGAAACTGTAACACTTTACATACAATATCATGCCATTTTATTTTGAAAAAAAAGCACAATTTACAATGATAGACACCCTTTAACATTAGAGGTTACATAGGCCATATTGCAGTTGCAGTATGCAGCAATATAATCTCAACTATTATTGGTACTTTGTCCATATTGTGCAGTCCTACTGTGCGTCTGTGTTTTGAGAGAGCATAAAGGATATATGCTGAATGATAATTAGACTCAATATCACAACTGTTCTGCATAAATTATGCCAACATGGTGTGGATGATAATAATGGGAAATTCCACCAATTTTTCATAGTCACTCAGAGTGGTTTGATGTGAAATGATTAATTGTAGAGAAACTTACTGCCTCAGATTTTTTTTTTTTTTTTAGTGGTGGTGATATGAACCAGGTGTTGGAGTGTCTGCAACACAAGTATAGCTGCTTTATTTACTATTCCAAATGACCAGTGAATCTACAGATGTCTTCTGAGCTTGTTGTGTAGCATTGATAATGTTAAAATAATGGAATACTTTTGGGTATTACTTTGCTTAAGCTTATGTCAAAGCTGTTATAAAGCAGTGTCTCAGGCATCATTCAGTATAACCATTTTATGCCATAACTGTAAGGTAGCGTTGATAAGCATTGAACTCTTTAGACGTCTGGTTCCTATCACCACCACTGTGAACAATTTTAACTTGGAAAGTCTCTCCAGAATTGAGCTCTTGTCATCAAACCACTTGGAGTGACTTTGTTTACATTTTAATGATACAATTATGCAGAACCTTTGAAAAATGGGTTTAATTCCCCATTAAGGTTTGCATAAAGTTAATGATCTAATGCTTGTAGAGTGTTACTGCTCCTCACTAAATCAATGTATTGCAATTCCAGCACTGAGATAAAGTTTTGTTGTTCAGTGAAATAAACAGAAAATAAGTACATGTCCTCCACAATGAATACACTTGTGCTCATTTTAAAGCACAACTGTTTACTGTGTATTTGCTGTATTTAACATATTGGGGGAAAAATAAACAAAAATGTGGTTTGTGCAAAAATTATGCCACAATACATTATTATACATTATTATTTTCCTAATACATTAAACTCAGCAAATAAATAGAAATATGTTCAAAAAAATTCAATATTTAAGTGTGTTCTCTGTAGAGGATGTGTTAACTTCTTTTCACTCAGAAAATCAAGACATTAATTTTCATACATCTGCATTTAATGTTATTTCAAAACAGTCTGAAGCACCTAATACATTTATCTCTCAATACCACTAAAACTAAAAATCAGTACTGTTGTGTGACACCAATGCTGGTACTTAGGCGATATATCACCCAGCACTATTTTATGTGTCTTGGGTGAATTTGGCCTAAACAAGGGCTTTGAACTCTTCCCATATTATCCACTAGGGGGAGATGTTGAGCCAAGAAAACAATTAAAGTTCTTTTTTTCTACTCCCCCACCCTTACTATCATGATATGCTCTCAATAATAGCTGTTGCGGGAATGATATTTAATAGAAAAGAGCATAACCAGAAACCACGTCATAGATTTGTGATCTGCGGCATTTTCGCTGTCATAATACCTTCCCGGATGGGTGTGTGAATTTGCATGCCTGCCTGCATACCTGTAATTAAATCTCCGGATGACTGTACAATGGAACAAACACGATCTCATTACGCTTTAAAACGAAGAATTTTAGCTCTGCAAAGCCATGCCAAGCTGAAACGCTGAAAACCTCCGCACATGTACCTAGTGAGACAGAAAACGAACAGGTTTAGTGAACACAGAATGTAAGCTAAGCTCACCTCCTGCAGATGCTCATCAGTCTAGAGAGAAGTTATTTCTTCTTTCCCTGCATGTAGAGATGCTGCTGTTTGGAATTCACAGCTCTGCTGCCAGTTAAAGATTCATGCTGCTCAGTGGGGTGTCAGAAACATAAGTTTTGGAATGGTGTTGTTCGATGCTTTGCCCCTCTTGTCATTGCCCCTGGAGCTGAGCTTATGAAGTCACCTCAAAGAAGTCAGAGTGGAATGATTTATTGATTTTGACGAGCTGCATTATGAATCGTCTCCTCTGAATCTTTTCTGTGTATCATGTAGCGCACTGTACGGTCAATGTTAGTTTACCACAGTAATGATGTGCGCGTGAGATGTGGTGGATAAACAGGGCGTCATCACATACTTTGCGATATGTAATATGCAAAAGATCATCACTCTCATAACCAAACAGTGGTAACTGTAGGAAAAAAAGAAAAAAGTTCAGAACTTTTAATGTATCTTAATGTAATAATATGATGTTTTGATGTGACTGACAATATTTCAGTCATCATAAATAGTGATGTCTGTGCGATAAATGCTATGTGGTAAAAGGTTCTATGTGTAGTTATTGTGTATTGTGGGCCTTTTATAGTATAAATGTTTAGTAGAATATATGCATATATCGCTGCTTTTGGAACAAAACCTTGTATCTGTTTACACTGTGTGTAAATTTCATGGTAAATGGACCAAAAAAAAATGGCCCAAAATTACTTAGAAAAAAGTCTGGTTCCATTGACTTACATTAGAAGTACAGTGTTTTTCCTTCTCCTGTAAAGTTACCATTTTGGAGGTTTTGTTCCGACAACAGCGATATGCACCCTTTCCTGTAAAAGGAGACATAGTTAATATATGTATGCTGTTTATGTTGCAGGCCTGGCCTGTTGAACATGGGAGAGACAGCCAATCAGCCATGGTTAGCAGACTCATGGCCAAACGCCTGTGCCAATCACAAAGACTGCAGCATCAACTGCTGCAACGGGGGCAACGGCACAAGCGACAGCAATCTGACCACCTACAGCCGTCCAGGTAAGAGCTTCCATTGCAGCATTAGTGTTTTCAGGGAGTGCTTGTGTTTGTTTGGGTGGTGCCACAAATCCGAGCCATGACCAACTCATTGTACATGAAAAATTGCCCAAACCCAGCCCAAATTACTCATACATTGTCTAAGCCACTTATCCTTCTGGGTCGCGGGGGGTGCTGGAGCCTATCCCAGTGGTCATTGGCAGGAGATACCATGGACAGGTTGACAGTCCATCGCAGGGCAGACACACAGACATATACATTCACACACACACACTCACACACCTAGGGGCGATTTAGGATGTCCAGCTGGCCTGGCTACATGTCTTTGGACTGTGGGAGGAAACCCACGCAGACATGGGGAGAACATGCAAACTCCACTCAGGAAGGACCCTGGTCGACCGGCTGAGGAACAGAGTCCAGGCTATTCTTGGGCCCCTTATTTCTCAGGCCCCGGCTGGGTAACAGACCTATAATCTATATAGTTAGAGCTCTGTTGCTCACCAGATATAAATCTACAAAAATCAGCTGGACAGTGTAAGATATCCAGTCTTTTCATAATCAGCTTGGGTTTTAAAGGTTGTGTAGTGCATACAAAGCTTTACCTCCAATGTCCTGGGCTTGCAAAAGCAGGTTCACCTGCTTTGTTTTCAGCTCGTTGGAGGGAGCTCACCTGATGGCCATTAGCCAGGCTTAATAAAAGGTTTAAAAAGTGCTGAGCTCTGCCAGGTAAGAGACACAATACAAGATAGAGCTGTTACACTAGCGCAGATACTTGCTTGCCCTTAAGGTTTGTATAAAAGTGGAAAGACACGAGGGGGAAAAAAGTGAAAAAATTGAGTTGATTTGTGAGAGAGAGAGAGAGAGAGAGAAAATGAATAATAATTGAGTGTGTGGAAGAAACAAATTTAGATCAACATGTCTAAAGTTAAAAGAAAAAGGAAGGCATACACAAGACAACAAAACACGAAAAAGGTGAACTGATTTGGTTTTCAGTTCCATGTTTAAATTTAGTAAGAATAAAATGTAAGTCTTTTCTGTGGTTTAGAAAAAAAGTGCTTTAGTCACCACCTTGTGGCATGTTTGGTGCTTTGGTTTAATAAAGTTCTGCAAAGCACCTTATTTGAGCTTTTTGGAGCAAATCAGGCACATGTAAATGTTCATGCTTAGCTGCACAAGTAGGTTTTCTGTTAGGGATTTCAAAGCATTTCAATCATTGATGTTTTGAGCACATGAATCTTTCAAGCAGTGTTAGATCTGTAGAACAACGTATTGTGGAGAGCCTCAAAAATGTTTCAGCACCGTTCCCTTTCATACTGACTGAAAAACTCCAATAGATCACCTGCTGCTGCTGACGTTTCTGCCGTTACCCTCAAACTGGAGCAAACATGCCTGAAAGGAATGCCAAACAGGTTTTAGTGTTCAGCCCAGATGTTGCACATTTGTCACAAAGCGCTTAGTTGCTGACCATGCCCCAGTTCATTCAAATAGAGGCCTGAAGGTTTGGGTCTGGGCACTATAGATTTCCCCCCATTCCCTTTGCTGATGGGTCAGGTGTGATGATTAAAGTGACCAGTCTGTAATGACATGTGCTGGGTTAACTTCCACTGATTTACAATATCTCTGATGGATTAGAGGCCTAGATTTGAATACCTTTGGACTCGTGTGAATGGTCTGTTTTTGTGTACACTCTTAAAAATAACTGTTCCTAAATGGTTCTTGGCTTGGACATACAATTTTAGTACCTTTTAATTGTTACAGAACCTGTATTATGTGGAGGCCCTTTAAACTTGAACAGGTTTACTTACAATTTATTTGCAAAATTGGTTCTTTTGAAAGGCCATCCATTTAAAGGCTATTTAAAGAGCCAAAGGTGGTTCTCCTATGGAATTGCTCATCTTATTTTTAAGGGCCATACCTGAAAATGACAACTACTGGGAAGCAGGGTCTAATGTACAGTACAAGTCAAAAGTTAGGACAAACAAAATCTAATGCATTTTTTCTTAATCTTAAAGCTTTTTTCAGCTTGAAATTGGTTTCACAGATAAAGTGTGCCTGTTTATGAATTTATTACTGATGCCTGTTTATGAATTTATTTTCATGACAAAAAAGGAAAAAATGTAGAGAAAAAGCAAAGAGATTTGCATCAAGACAAAGAAGGGCTATTTTGCAAAATCTAAACTGAATTTAAATGCAACACTTTTTGATCACTTCTCATAATGAGAACATCAGGGGAATACCTGAGAAATGTTGGGGTAATTGGAGGTGCAAACAGACTCATTTAGACAGTAACAATTTCTAAGCCAATCCAAGTAGGGAGTGATGTTAAGCTTGTCAGCATTACAACAAGGCTGTTGTTAGCCCATATATGTAACATAAATTAGCATGGCTAAAAAGCTGTAGAGAACACAAGCATGAACCATTTAAATAATTAATTTTTACACAATACATGCAGTAAAAATAAGTTACTTCTAGCAAGAAAAGCCATTGATGGTGTTTTACCAGCTAGCTTGTTTTGCTTGTGTTATCAATTGTACTCCAGACGTGTAAAGAGCACAGACTAGAGGAATTTGGGGGTGGATTTTAGAGGGGGTGTAGCCTTGTTTGCAATCAAAAAATTAATACGTTGTCTCCAGATGTGTATTGTCCTTGCAAGATCACATCTGGCCCTGCTAAACTAAGAATAGGTGTGTCTGAGCTCTTGGCTTGTACACATGCATATCTCTTGACTATATCCTTAACAATTCACTTAATCTCGAGTCACTTTAGTGGTGCTGCTTCAGCCTCCTTGAAAAGAGGGACCCTGATAAACACCCACCCACGATTAAATAAGCCTTAAGAAATTGATTGCTTTGCATTATGTATAATGTGTATTACATACTTCAGAATTATAAGAGACATCTTATAAGGTCACTCCTTTAGTGCCTTTCACCAGACCTACTGCAGCAAGTATTCAGCGAAGAGACGCTGAGGAAGACACTAAGCCAGCGTCAGTCTAATTGGTTTCCGGCAATAAAACAGACTTCATTTTATGGGTGCTCTGGAGGTTTGTTTTAGATACTCAGATCTATTGACCTGCCCAGGTGGAAAGCTTGCATTGATCCCTGTTTGTGTACTTTTGTGGGAGGAAAAAAGTGTCCTTGACTGTGGCCTTCCACATCCTGCCCATCTGTGCTCGCTCAGATTCATAAAAGTTTTACTGTGACAATTTTCTCTTTCTGTTGTGGGAGATGAAATCGATCAGTTGCGTCACTGTAGATGCACACGGCCTTGCGCAAATGAAACACCACCTCCAACAAGACACCTACCCACATTTGACAGTCGAGCCTATGATGTTACATGACTTCAGAGTACAAGACATTGTACCTTAAGAGTGTTAAGGTTATGTAGCAATTTTGGTCATGCATGCTGTTAGATATTTCTGTAAGTTTCCTAAAGTTTTATTTATTCATTGTGTATCTCTAATATGTATAGATGTAGACTGTGTCCAAAAGTTTTCTGATACTTGCTCATCTCGTCTTTCTGAAATTAAAAGTATTAATAGAGAGCTGTCCCCCTTTGCTGCAGTATTAGCTTCTACTCTTGGGAAGGCTTCACACTAGATGTTAGAACATTTGCTGTGAGAATTTATTTGCATTTAGTCACAAGAACGTTAATGAGGTCAGGTACCGGTGTTGGATGATTGGTTCTGGATCACAAATGCCAATCCAACTCATTGCTAAGGTAATGGATGGTGCTCCGTAATGCAGGTGTGGAGAATGGCAATAGGAATGGTGACTTTAGGCTTGTTTGCAGCTGCTCCAGACTGTCCATTGTATAGGCATTACTTTAAATCAGTGTGTTTGCAATTGAACGCCTGTGTCAGCAATGGTTGCCGCTCAAAGCAACTTAAAAAATTCACTGATTAGAAGGATCTACAAACTCTGACATGGCCAATTAAAATAAACATGTCATTTCATTATGTGGAAAAAGTACAGCCCTATATATCACTTCTTCAAATGTGTCAAATTGAGATCAGGTGCTAATGATTAGAACACCATTCTAAACCTCAAATATCTGGTCTGGTTTGCTCTTTGATATTGGAGTTTGGGGTATCGTCATGCCTTGCTCAAAAGAGCTCTCTGAGGCCTTCATAAAGACGGTTGTAGATACCTATGAGTCTAGGTAGGGGGTTTGATAAGTTCCAAAATATTTGAAATCAGTCTCTATGCTGTTTGGAAGATCGTTTACAAGTAGAGAGGATTTAAAACTACTGCCAACTTTTCCAGGCCAGGCCACCCCAGCAAATTTAGCCCAAGAGCAGACCATAAGATGCTAAAAGAAAAAAGTCTTTAAGAACCCCAAAATTTCATCACAGAATCTGCAGGTAGCTCTTGCCACTGTGGATGTCAAAGTGCATGCATCTACCATTAGAACGAGACAGCACAAGTTCCACCTACGTGGCAGGTTTGCCAGGAGGAAGCATTTGCTGTCTAAAAATAAAATCAGGGCAAGACCAAAGTTTGCTAGTCATTGTCTAGGCATGACCAGGATATTTGGAATAATGTGCTATGGACAGGTGAGTCAAAGGGAAAGGTGTTTAGCCAGTGTACAAAAGCCATGTTTGGCGAAAAGTAAGGACTGCATTTGATCAGAAGAACCTCATACCAACTGTACAGCATGATGGTGGAAGTGTTATGGTGTGGGGCTGCTTTGCTGCCTCAGGGCGTGGCCGGTTTGCAATCATAGAATCGACTATAAATCCTCTTCTGTACCAGAGAATACAGAAAGTTAAGGCTCAACAACTGGCCCTTCCAACAGAATAAAGATCCCAAACACACAAGTAAATCCACCAAGGAATGACTTGTGGAGTGGCCTAATCAAAGCCCAGATCTGAATCCCATTGAAATGCTGTAGGGGATTTGAAATATGCTATAAATGCAAGAAGCCCCTCAAACATTGGACAGTTGAAATAATGCTACATGAAGGAGTGGGCAAAAAATTCTCCCAGTAAATGCCAGACACTGGTAGAGAGTTATAGGAAACACCTACATAAAGTTGTTTCTGTCAAAAGGGGCATTACCAGTTACTGAAGCCAGGGATGTTTTTAACTTTTTCAACAGATTAAGACATCTCAGTTAATTTATTTTTAAATGATTGCAAAGTCAGATTTTGAGTGTACAGTACACTCAAAGGAAACATTTTATGGGGTGTACTAGCTTCTTCACATGACTGTATAGTGCATGTTTTATCTAAAATATTCTTCTGCAACTTTCTATAATTGATTAACCTTGGACTTTTATCAGCTAATTATTCTACCATTAACTTTTATCCCATCTCTGGTTCCTTTCCTTCTGCCATCACCATCATTCAGAGCTCCATCTGTGCAAAATGCAAATACCATTTTTTCTTTTTTTTTTGATGCAATGAAACAATACAAGCCATATCACCTTTAAAGCTTCCTGTATTGTCTTACAATCTCTTAGAATGACATATCGTCGCTCTGCAAAGGAAAACGTCTCCATTTTTGTCAATTTTTATTTTTCTCCATCAGCAGCAGCTGCTCTGTACATTGTGTGAAATAGGAATAAAATCTCTTTACATTAAAAGTATAGATACTTCTGTCCTCTCTTGTAAATTTGCCATTTTGGAGATTAATCTTGAGTCAACTAATAGTTGTAGCCATACTAAACTCTATTCCAGCCCACTATAGGTCTGTTTAAAATACTGTGCTGATTGTTATTTCATAATATGAATCAGCATATTTGCTTTTGATAAAAACAACCTTTGGCTTTAGGCACAATAGCTTGTCACTTCTGCTCATATCTGCATGTTCTTCTTGTTTTTACAGCTGACTGCATTGCTAACTACAACAGTCAGCTGGATAATAAGCAGGGGGTTCTGATGGGCTCGGACTCTGCTGTCTACAGCGATGTGGACCTGTCCAACAAACTCAATGAGATGAAGACTTTTAACAGCTCCAGTATCTGCTACATGGGACCTGGAGGCAGTCCTCCTACACCATACGAGCCCACACCTTACGCCACAACCCAGCTCATCCAGTCAAACATCATGAGCAAGAACAGTGGGGCGGGGCCAGGGGCAGGGCCTGGCGACTTCAATGACAAGCGTTGGAAACACCAGCAACCAAAGCCCCCGGAAATGACATCACAGCTCCAGTTTAACATTATGGAACAAAACAGACTGAACAAGGGTGAGCATATAAACAAATGATTACACTCAAATGTTAAAATAGCACTATGTAATTTTTATTTATTTTTGTTCTTTCCACATGTTGCCTGAAGATATTTGTATATACATTGTTTATTTTTTATTAACAACAGTTATGTCTGTGCTATGGACACTATACAATATGCAGAGAGATATTCTGTGTGTGATGTGGCTTGAAACTAAATGTTACGGCTCTTTTAGACAGTGTAGATCTTTGTCATGTTTTAGTGCTTGTAGGTGCTTTTTTGGTTTGATACACACATTTTCTTCTGGTTCCTTAGATCATTACAGAGGGGGTGAGGTCAGCCTGCCTCCAACCATCCCCTATAACCAGGCAAATGAGCACAGCTCGGCAGGGTCCTACCACAGCTCCGACAGAGGCAGCAACAGCACCTCGGGTACGCCTGCACTCGCACCATCACACACTCCATGAGGATGTTCAGAGCTGTCATTCAAGTGTCAACTCTTTTTCTTGTCACACTGGTAAAGGACTCTTCACTTGAGGGGATCCTGGGTGGGTCATTAAAAGGATACTGGTTTAGTATAGGGGGCTGCATTGCAGGTAATTTAAAAAGAGCTACAGCAATTTGTACCCGTCTTGCTTGCTTTTTCATCCAGTCTTGGTCTGAGACCACTAGGGCTGTAAAAATGCATCAGTGCGTCATGTTGCATCCACCTGAAACTGGCAGTTTAACAGTAATGATATTAAATTTAATGTAATTATGATATTCAGAAAAGTATGCACTCATTTTTGGACAAAAAATTCTGCATAAAGAATTGTATTTCATTAAATGATTATCAGAACTTCTTAAAAAAATCAGTCATGGTAAAATTTTAGATTTCAACATATCAGATCGTTTCCTAAAGAACTGTAATTCTATTTACATTTGTGAGGTCATGTACATCCCTATTGACCACTGACATGTCCTTACTGTAGTTTGCAAGGAGTTTTAAAAAAGTTTCAAGAATCACAATAAATTACAGTATTTTCAGAATTAGAAAAGGTTTATTTTTAAAAAGTAGAATGTCTTATGAGTCTCCTTTTTTTTCCCCCCATCAGGGAGTCAAAATTATAAAAAAGCTACTCGCACACCTAAACTAGCCAAACAAAATGCAGTGAACTGGGCTGAGCCATTGCCCCCTCCCCCTCTGAATCCCCCACCCAGCCGCAGCACTGAGGACTACCTACAGCCCATGGACAAGAGGTAGGCACACACACACACACACACACACTCAGAATTGAGACAGTTCCTGTAGACTCTAAAAGCAAGAGACCACATATGACTTTGCCTTCCCTAATGCAGAATGTTTCTGTCGTTAGTTTTGATCCAGACCCCCAGTGCCCCATGCTTCAGAGCCGCATGTATCTGCACCAGGGGGAGATGGAGGAGGAGGAAGAGCAGGAGAGTATGGACCGATGCCCCACACCGCCTGTCAGAGGGGCAGCCTCTTCCCCTGCTGGAATGTCCTACAGTCATCAATCTACAGCCACGCTCACCCCCTCCCCTCAAGGGGATTTACACCCAGGCCTAAACAACAACAATGAAGAACGCAGGTACTGTACTAATACCTCATGATGCAGAGAAGCTGCTAACATTACACATTTTGGCATATTATCTACATAGACATCACTTCCATAAAGAGAATTCTAACATGTTACCATGTGGTAACTGCACTATTAAATGAACAGCCAAAAATAAAATTATTATTATTATTATTATTTCCTCAAATGGATCAGCCAAGACATGTTTGCTATGTGAAAGTTTTTGGTTTTTCCAATGGAGTTGCAAGGCTAATGTAGCTACGAGTACTTGAAACTTATAGCACTCCAGTTAATACTGGTATAGCACAGTAAACAAAGACGCAGACAGAATCCAGACTTCAAGGTGGCCACTACTACTGAGTATAGCAATGCACATGAAGGCAAAAGTGTGAAAAATTAGGCATGAAGTTTGCACAATGCTCATTTTTTGGGCTTAGGCTTCTGTTACTTGGTAGCTGCATTACATTTTTTTAGCTCAAACTGAAGAAGCAAACTATGAACAGTAATTATTTTTTGGCTGATTAACTACATTTGGGGTAAAATTGTATAAATTTAATTTTTTTTAAATTTAATTGTGCAATTATGTAAATCTCTAATGTTTAAACTCTCATCTCTGTCTTAGACGACACACAGTGAGCCCCCCTCCTCCACCCCGGCCCCTCTCACCTACTCACACCTACGGCTACATCTCTGGCCCATTAGCGCTGGACAGTGGGACGCTGGAGTTAGAAGGTGAGGAAGAAGGTGATCAGACGGATGGAGAGTCGGGCCTTAGGCAATATCAGCAGCATCCGGGCTCACAGTACCACTCTCAGCAGCAGAACCAGCAGCAGCAGGTTCCTCTCCCCCGCCGTCTGCAGCTGCACAGAGGCCTGGAGCAGACCCCCGCCTCCAGCACTGGTGACCTGGAGAGCTCCGTCACAGGCTCCATGATCAATGGCTGGGGCTCTGCCTCCGAGGAGGACAACGCATCATCCGGCCGCTCCAGCGCCATCAGCTCCTCTGACGGCTCCTTCTTCACCGATGCTGATTTTGCCCAAGCTGTCGCCACGGCGGCTGAGTATGCTGGCCTGAGAGTGGCCCATTATCCAGGGCCTGTGGACATTGGAGGAGGGGGTGAGTGAAAGGGATAAGGGCTTGTTCAGAGAGGGACAGGCCACTGAGTCTATCAGAATTCCCAGTGGGCCTTTCCTATCATGTTAGCAGTACCACCCCCCCAACCCCTTTATTTATTTATTTATGCATTCATTCACTCATTTATTTTAATAATGTGACCAGTCTTGTCTGGGGAAAATGTCCATTGGTCATTTTTTATTCCAGCCCATACCTGGCTGGGATTTGAACTGGATTTAAGGTTAATCCCTTAAAGTCTTCTAGTATAGACTGACATGCTGTATGTTGTCCCCTTTTAAGGTCAGAAATACCACATTGGCCACCGCCCGAGTAGCCCAGTGTCCACAGACAGCAACATGAGCACTGCAGTGATGCAGAGGAAGCCACACAAAAGGCACAAGCAGCATGCAGCTAGTCACCAGATCCACCACCAGCAGCAGCAGCAACAACCACCACCACCCGAGGAATACACAGACGGTAAAAAAGTCACTGGATTATTTGTGCTACATTTCTACACCTACACTGTGTGTCACAGAAACAAGCACAAAAAAACCAATGTGAAATTGAGAGTGGAACTTTGTCTTTTCCTTCCCACAGACCCATCCGTACCCTTGAGCCCCTCCTCAGCCGGCCTGAAGTCTCCCAGCCACGGCTCCAGGTGTACCTATGAAGAGAGGGGCGCCACACTGCCCAGAATGGGCTGTGGAGAAGCCAGAGACAGAAGAGGAAGCGCAGGAGGCTACCGGACGAGAGAGGGATCAGCTGATCGACGAGGAGACCATGACAGACATCGGAATCCACATGGAGGCAAAGGCAGCAGCAAAGCACGTCAACAAGCAGGTAAATTATGAGGGATTGTAACTATTGGAGTTATTGTAAATATGAATTCCCAACATTGACTTCATGCTTGTTACATACTGTGGAAAGGGCAATTTCAGTGGCTCATGTTAGAATTTTTTTTCTTTTTTAGAAAAGAAACACAAAAACTTTAATGACTTTGCATGTAGAATACAGAAAATCTGGCATATTCCAAAAATTAATTGGAAAAATCTCATTAATTTGCATTAAAAGTAAAGAATTCATTTCCCTTATTCTCTAAGGTTACTGTTTCTGAGAGAGAAAGTTAAAAGGACAGTGACAATATCTTCAGTGTTTAAATGTCTGAGTATGCTAGCTCTGTCTCTGTTCCTGCAGCTGCAGAGGATATTCCTCCTTACAACCGGCCCTCCTTCCCCTCAGCACAAAGCCAGAAGGAGGCTCCCAGCTCCTCCAGCTCTGCCTCGTCCCGGGGCTCTGGGGGCAGGAGGCGGGGAGATGTGGGCCCAGGGGGACGCAGAAACCCCAGCGAAGCAGGACTCCCCAGCTTGGGGGCCTTTTCTCCCCAGGAAGAAGAGTTAGAGGTAGGCTGCTTATCACCCAAAACCCTTAAACCTGCTGCAGACTGTGTGTTCATAGCAGCCTTTCGGGATGATAGGAATAACATGTTGGCTAAAATTAGTGTGATATTGTTTATGTTGCCCCAGTTTATACGATAAGGATGCTCTAATGATGGGCCTAAATGGCTGACACTGTCAGAAGCTGGTCATAAGCTATCTTTATTCAAAGGTTCTAAATCATTATCTAGTGAGTCATATTAAACATTCTAAGGCTAAACATTTTAAACCATGACCACATAATTCTTTCACAAGTGGTAGTTTTTCTTTGCAACATCATTATCGTGGCAAAATTTGTAGTTTATACCTGCCTCAAAATATGTTCATCATAATTGTTGGTACCTAAAGAGACCTAAACACACAGTTTGCTCCAGCTATTTGATGTTGATTTCCCTATAAAGCTCATTACTTTCATGTAACATCAAGGGTACTATTGTAGGAGGTTTGCATTTCTGGGTTTAATAAGCCTGGACTTGATTTCCCCAACATGTAATAGAACAACAGTCTCCACTCTACTCTACCCCATCAGCAACCAAAATCCCCTGACCAATTTCCCCCAAAAACTCTGCTGTCTTTACTATGACCCCAAAAGGTAATAAACAAGATAACTGTTATTAGATTCAAGTCAAACTCAAATTAGTGTAGATCACTGCAGTACATCAGAGTTCTCAGATTGGATTGGCTTTTGTATCATTTATATCACCGTAACAATATTAAGTGTCAGTTTGACTTGCTTCTCCAGCTTCTCCTACAAAAACTAGCTCTGCTGCTCTGAGAATAAATTCTTCTTGTTGCTTATGAAGGAAGTAAATTAAAACGGAGAGGGTTCTTAAATGGGACTTTTCAAAATTACTATATAACTCAATTGTTGAGGTGTAAACAGAGTCGTTCACAGTAGTTTGATGGAAAAATAGTACACTGTAGAGAAACTTGCTGACAGATTTCCTTACAGTGGTGGTGACAGGAACCAGAGGTTGCAATGCATACAACCCAATCATAGAGATGTCCACTACATACTATCCAAAGTGAGCAGTGAAGCTACATTTGTCTTGTGGATTTTATGTATAGTTAAAATATTGACAAATCTGAAAGTAAAATATTGGCAACTCTTTTGCCTTAAAATGCCCTGCATGTATGTCTCTGCTGTGAATGTGTTTTAAAAAGATGTTTAGGCCAAAATCTTATCTTAAAACTACAGTAAACAATATCTCAAGCATCAGACAACATATTCATAATAATGTCATCTAATAGCTTTCTGTGAGGTAGCTTTTGGAGGCACTAGTGCTTAAGACGGCAGGTTCCTGTCACCAGCTTTATGAACAATTCTGTCTTGGTAAGATTCTGTAGAATGACTGACTTTATTTGATTAAATTAACAAAAACTTGAAAGGTTTTCTGTTGGTCCATGCATTATAAAATATTCACACAAAGTCACCCTTTTCAAATAATATTGTGAAAAGGTTATGATATAAACAGCGTGTAATGACAGCAATGCTATAGCTACAGCTCTCAAGATATCTTTGCTATCTTGGTTAAGCACCTTTTCTGATCATAAACCGTCCTGCTGTTTCTGTCCACAGCTGCTGGAGAGCTGAGGGTCCAGTCAGGATGAGAGAAAGGATCCTGATGGCCGAGTGGAACCCATCTTACTGTGGACCATACACGATTCAGACCATCTACAGTCATTCACAATTATGTACATGATCTGATCTGTCTTTACAGGAAAAAAGGACTGACCAATGTGTAATGTTTTCTTTTTTTATCTGTTTCAATATTTAATCTTTCCAGAGTGAGGAACAAAGAGGAACAATTGGATGCTTTTGAGGGTTTTTTTGAGTAGGTGATTCTTTCTGCTTTAAAGCGCCATTGCCTGGTGTGAGTTTGTTGAGCAGGTGTGTTCTCACAGCAGGGGTCCTGAGCGTTATGGGAGTGTAACAGAAACTGTGCGTGGGAGCATCAGTGGACCATCAGTACAAACAGAAGTTTTCTTCACTCTTCTACTGTGATCCAGTACTTCAGTATGGTCAATATGGTCTTCCCTCTCACGGCTCTCCAGACTTCTTTTCTGCGTCGGGTTACGAGGGTCACTATTGTAAATTTACCAAATCATTGAGTCGATGAAAGAAGTGCTGCCGTGGGATTTGTTTTTATAATGCACTGTTGTCATTTTGTTCTTGATGTTATTGTTATTGTATACTTTTTTATTTTAAACTTTGGTTTCAAAAGCACAATCACTAAACTTTTTATTTTAAACCATTCTTATGTATGGAGCGTTCTACATTTATATGGTGAAGATGACTTCTTGTTAATCGTGTGTATGAGGCCGGATGAGAGGAAAGGCTTATTTGTTTCGTTTTTATTTCTGCAAATGAACAAGATGGAAATGGGACAACTCTCTCTCTCTCTTCTCACACAAAAAACATGTAATCACGTTACCCGAATAGGGATAGACCATGGAGTAGCAATTTGTCATCTCATAACCAATGACAATGTTACATTCATTGAGACAAATGCACTTAAGTGAGGGTGAAACAAGAAAATGTGCAATGGGCGATATCTTTTAGATTTTAGAAGGCTTGAGTTACGAGTGTCCTTTCCATTTTGTGTTGAGGAGTGATGTGATCCCACAGGAGCACTGTTGTTGTAATACGAATGTCTGCCACAGCCAAACAGCAAGTCTTTTGGACTTTTATCTGCCAAGCCGTTGGGCTTGGCTCTTTCTATGCTGTACAGGAGTAAAGCAGGACTTCATTATGGGAATGGAAGTGAGGAATACCTGAAATGTGGTATTCCGAGGCATCGCTGTGCTCTCCTAGCACATAGCTGCTTCTATGGTTTGGACTCATGCTATTGCAGTACCTTTTTTCAATTAATGAACATTTGTGTGTGAGAATATGTTCTCTAAGGAAAAAAAACTTGTGCTGTCCATCATTGTTTGGTGTTTACTATGTTAAGATAAAGTACAACTGCTTTAAATTGTCAGCCAACTTTTCATGACTGATGAGCTCATATTTAGAGTAAAACTAAACATTGTCATTTCCCACCTTATTTATTATTAAAACATTTTTCAGATGCCAGTTTGGGTTTTTTTTCTTGAAAAGAGCATGAAAGACATTTGAATAGCACGCAATCACCAGTGCTCCATGTAATCTTTCTCTATTGAAGAAGCGACTGACCTCCACTTGTTCCCTCTCTGACCTTATTCCCCTGGGAGAGCCGTACAGGCAGAACACTGCTCTGCCTCCTGTTAGGACAAAAAGACAAAAGAGGCCTTTGTTCATGCTGTAATTAAGATGTACAGAAGCAGCATCACTCAATCAAACTGAAATTTTAAAACATGACTAACATAAGAGTTTTACATCACAGACATTGAGGCATCCTTTGTGTTTAGAGCTAGTGAGTATCCAGGGGCAGAGTCAGACTTGTTTTCAGACCAGGAGTTACATAATGCAGATCAGCCCACCTTAAACTCTAATGCTTAGTCCAAAATTACATGCTACTACACTAAATAGTATATCAAAACTGGCATGCTACCGCTAGAAGCTCATTCATTCATTTAGTATGTACAGAACAGTAGTATGCAGTTTAGGACACAGCCTAACTGTATTTCTCCTGCTACACACAATCACAACAGTCAATATGCTACAAACTAAAAGTTAAGGTCACCATTTTTTACTGTCAGGGGCAATTTAATCCCTTAGACTTGCCCTGAATTTGATACGCTGATCTCTTGAGACAGCTGTTAGCTTCTTATTTTAATTTCCATTCCACCTTAAGTAGTGCAGCAGTTAAACACTAACGCCTGTACAGTTGTGTGAATGTAACTGTGACATCATTTAAGGTGGAACGGGTGGAATCTCTATCCACTGTGCAAAACCCAGTCACAGTCAGAAAACTAGGGCTGTACCACTGGAGGTGAGGGCCACTGGTCTAACCTCTAAATTACTTTTTCTTCTTTAAAGAAGAATTACTGAATTTTCCTTGCCAATTCAAATTATCGCACTGTATCTACCATCTTAGAAACTGCGTCGTAGTCGCTGCCACTTGGTGTATTTCCCTTTTCCAGAAAATGTGTTTCTACAAGCTGTTAAGATTTGCTGCTCAACGCTGTATTGCATCACATCAATAAACATCTTGAGCCACCTTGAATCACCAGTCCCACTCCCCCAGACTTCACCGTCACAGCTGCTCTTTCCTCTATGAACAGTAAAACAGTACTGTTATGACATTGCTAACGTATCTCTTTCTGCAGCCCCTTAATGCCTGTTCTGCCAGTGGAATGTAAATTAGCTCAGACATTTTTAATTAAAATCAAATTCAACATTTTTCACTAACTCTTATCAGATTAACCAAGATACTGTTGTGACTCTGTGATAAGCTTCTAGCGAGCAATGAGGGGCGAGAACCTCTGGCTGTGAAAACAACTCGTGCCCTTCCACAAAGACGGCCATGCAGAGATAAAATGCTGTGAAAATGAACTTGAACCTTGCTTTTATCAGCTCTCCCTTGCTGAAGCGCAGATGGCATACAACAAATGTGTCATCAAATATCAGTCTGAAATCCATGCATTGGCCCACTGCCAATGATTTTTAAAAAGTAGTACCGATATGATTACAACATCATTGTGCGTCCTTAGATTTAGTTTTCATACCTTCCTCTCTGCGTAAACAAGCTCTGCTGCAGACATTGTTGAGCTCTCCAACAAGGTACAAGAGCCACACCCCACTACCCCACCCTATCCACTAAGACAGCCAGTGAGATCAGTGGTCATTAGCATACAAAATCTGCACCCAAATAAGTCTTTTCTTCACAGAGGAGTAACATATTATACAGAGGGTGAAACATCATATAAGCGCTGAATTAAGATGTTATTCTCTTCCAAAGAGCACAGGGAAACACAAACACATCTTCTCAGCCGCTTATCCTTCTGGGTCGTGGGGGGAGCTGGAGCCTATCTCAGCAGTCACTGGGTGGAAGGCAGGATACACCCTGGACAGGTCACCAGTCCATCGCAGGGCAGACAGGGAAACACATATTAAAAAAACACCGACTTCAGTTCAGTAAGGGCTTGTTAATGAGCTGATCAGTTGAATAAGGTGTGTTGGGAGCAGGAAAAACACTAAAACATCAACGAGGGTGGGCAAACACTGAACCAGCAGTTAATGCCTTTAGCATTTTTTATTTTTTTTTCAAAAAGCCTGCAGAATGCAGATGTTGATCTTCTCTTTTCTCTTAAGGGGGGTTTAGGAGAAATTCAGAAATCAGTGATCCTTCATTAATGTAATATTGACATCTGTTTTATTTCTCTGAGACAGTCTTAAAGAATATTTTTCCTCTGGGAGTGGTCATTTGCTTCAGCCACTGTATTAAAAATAGAGAGCATATTATTGACTATTGCAAGGTTTTTGCTATATTACTGATATGGCAAAAACCTTGCCTCCAAAATGGTAACTTTTCTGAAGAACCAAAAAAACATTAACTTTCAGTGTAAGTTAATGTAAAAATATTTTATTTAAATTCCTCCCACAGTCCAAAGACATGCAGTCAAGCCAACTGGACAAGCGAAATTGCCTTTAAGTGTGAATGTGTGTTTGATTCTGAGTGTGAATGTATATGTCTGTCTGTCTGTCTGTCTGTCTGTCTGTCTGTCTGCCCTGTGATGGACTGGTGACCTGTCCAGGGTGTATCCTGCCTTCCGCCCAATGACAACTGGGACAGGCTCCATCACCGTCACCGCATTTCTACAATACCATTCATCATGAATCTTAGCGTAAGGAATTGCTGTTATTTTTTAGTTTAAATCTGAAAATAAAAAAACGCTAAAAAAAAAAACTGTCAGGGTTTTTCTGACATCAGTGATGTTTTCACCGCTGAATGTCATGGATTATCACTTTTTACATCAAGAACTTAGATTTTTCGAAAAGCACCTTGATTATGTCTTATACGTTCCTGAGCAGAGTGTAAACCATTTGGCATGGTTTCCGATTTGAGGAATTCACTCTGGAAGGTCTCCACAAGGCTGCCAACTGTGTGTTTTATTCACTTTGAGAATACGGTATGAATGGGGAGCAGCACTATAAACTTGAAGACTGTCTCTGCAGAAGGCCGAAATATCACCTCTGACCAAACTCGCAGTGGCAGCCCTTAATGACCTCCACTAAAACTAATTATCACCTTTCTCAACACAACCTTGGGAAGAGCACGCTGGCACCTTGCCTTAACTGGACCTTCACAGACTGTCTCTCAACACAGGTTTAGCAGCAACACACAGACATTTATTCTTTGCCACGCATTCATTGAGGTGTTCTTTATATGAATTCCTCAACCTTTACAACTGAATACTTATCAGATCACAAATGGTAAAGTCTCATTGAGATGAACAGAGCTGAAGCTGGACCAGCGCTAGCTCTGAGTTTACTAATACATTAAGATTGCCGGTTTATCAGGTCCGTAGGTTTATAAGTAGTGTGTGTAACCCACGTTTCTGCACAATTTATCAGTGCCATTTCTCAACTTACCATGAAGGTAAATTATCGTTTTTAGAATGGCCTCGGTTTATAATTATTGTTGATGAGCGGTCTTTAACTCGACTAGTAATTCAAAATCAAATATTCAGATTCCATTATTTTAAAATAGTAATCCTTTTATAACACTCTTACTGGTATAGAGAAAGAGACCAATGTAGTCGTGTCGTCATTTTGCGCCATCCTCTTATGCCCATATTAGGAACTTCGGGTCTAAGCCTGATTTCTCTATGGCCAGAATGAATAGGGTTTTTGAAAAATTGCCTCTATGGCATCCTGTGTTAAATAAAAATGTTCAGAACCCGACACGTTTTATCCCGTGAACATTCTTCTCTCGAATACCACTGGATCCTCTGAATTACAAGGTTGTTAAGGAGTTGAAATCTGAATATTACTACATGTGATCTAAAGCTACTGCGCACTGAATTTATGTCATTATACTGGCAGCCTCCTTAAGCAGGTTTTGTCAGTGTACATTTCCATATACAGACTGAGGGCAGATGAAAAGAAGTCAGAACAAAATAAGCAGATTCCTTGCAGTTCTCTGTTCTTCATCTTATGCTCAGTAAAACACGATAGATCTTTCCTTTTAGCTTGATTTGAAAAGATCTACAAACGTACCTGCACTCAGGCTAATCCTGCACAGACAAAACGTATCGGATTCTGAACATTTTTATTTAACACGGGGCGACAGAGGCGACTTTTCAAAAACCCTATTCATTCTGGCCATAGAGAAATGGAGCTCAGACCCGGAGTTCCTAATATGGGCATAACGAGGACTACAGAATGACGCACGACTACAGTGGTCACGTCTGTTAGATTTGAAACACTTGGCGCGACGAAGACTTGAAGGAAAATAATGAAAACGAATATATTGTTG